TGGGACGTGTCCCAGCACCTTTCCCAGGACACCCTTTTCATGGAGTAGCTCATGGTGACACTGACTTTCAGGAGTGTCCCATGTCCACCTGCCCTCACCACCTTCTCCAGCTGATGCTGAAACCTGCGCAGTGCCTGTAGGTTCATGCCGGAGGTCGGTGCTACCACCAGACCTGGGGGCTTACAGCTCTCAGGGTCTGCAGCACCTCGACTCAGCACCTTGCAGGATCCATCCCTGACAAGCTGTGCACCCAATCGCCGTGGAGCCACACGAGCTGCAAGCGGCAGCCCAAGCAGGTCTGTGCACAGACTGGGAGCACTGGTGGTGCTGGGACTGATGGTGCTGGTTTTTTGGGGTAACCCTGGGGTCTTTCAGGGGCTCGCTCCCATGTGGGGAGAGGAGTCAGTCCTCGAGCTGCCCCAGTGCTCGCTGCCTGCGCTGCCCCGTGGTGTGCTGGTGGACCTGGACAAGGTGCAGGAGCACACGCAGCCAGCTGCCAAAGCCATCCTCAGCAGCTCTGCTTGGAGATGGCAGGAAATAATTTCTGTTCCTCCCGAGGAGTCATTTACAGACATTTTACATGGGGCTGTAAGTGCACAGAATTACTTGCTGCCTTTCAGGACCTTTAAAATTATCTCCATTGCAGAGGAAAATTAAAGCAACGGAAGAATAGGGACCTATCTTTTATAGTGCATTAAAAAATACCCAGTCTGAAGGTTACTGAACCTGTGCTTTCTGTAAGGGAGAACTAATCCAGACAATCCCCAGCAGTCTTTTTACTGCTCCACTCTGATCTCCCTGGCACAAAATCCTTGAGCAGATTATCTTGGGAGCAGCAATGCTGATAAGCAGAGGGACTTAAGGCTTTTGGACTTCTTTTTAATTAGTTCTATAGTGGTTTTTCTGTGCACACCTCAATTTCACCCAGTGTAGAGCCTTGCTGGGCTTTCTAATGGCAGTTGTGATGCGAAAGCTTCCCTGACTTTGGAAGTTAAGGAGTCCACTCAATCATCAGTTCCCTCCGCTGCGGCTGTGCCGAAGCTTGTGGGTCTGTGCTGCAAGTGCTGGTGACTCTTCTGTGTCTTGAGCATCTCTTGGGCTGAGGAACTCTTCTCCCTGGGGTGCCCCAGGCCACCGAGGGGGGTGGATCTGCCACCCTGCGTGGGCCAGGTGAGGGCATGTAGCCTGCAAGGACAGGGGCTGGACAAGGGAGCAGAGCACAGATTTATCACTGCGTTTTGCCTCTCATCCCGCAGGTATAAATAGAAGCTACTTCAGCCTCCTCGTCACCCTGGGCGCTGATGGGAAATGTCAGCAATAAACAATTTCTGCCGACTCCACCAACAAGGGCAGTAGCAGCGCTGTGCCAGGATGCCACGCTGCCCGCGGGCTCCGGCCGTGCTCGCCATATCCCACGGCTAAGCCCAGAGACACATCTGCTGGTTATGCTGGCCTCTGATAATTTTGTGGCCCACTGAATTAATGAAAATGCCCAAAGGTCAGTGGGAAAAGAGGCTGCATTCCTGTGCAAGTCAGATTTATTTTTCCTTTTCAGAGCCTGTGTTAAATGCCAGACCCTGGCTGGCACCTTCCCATCAATCTCTCCCAATTCATAGAGAGGAAAGAGGGTCAGAACCTGCTAATGAGTTCAGTTCTCCTAATGGTTATTTTATCATTGGAGCAGAATAATTGTAATAATAATGATACATCCTGCCTGCTGTCTGGAGAGCGCAAAGCTGCCTTTGTAATGCCTGACAAAGACGTTTATTTATATTTTTTTATTTGCAGCCTGTGTGATTAGAGGGCAGCGTTCAGAATAGCCCAGTCGAGTTAAATACGTCTCGTAACAGTGCTTTGAGGCTAATTGCTGCCCTTTTCTTTTTTAGGCACTCGCTCCCCTAATTACAAGCACAATCGAGTTGCATCTCAGCTGCGAGGACGGGTGGGAGGGGGAAAGCGGTCGGAGAAGGGTGATTCGGCTGCGTTGCGGAGGGCCCTGTTTGGATCCAGCTACCGCAGGCTGGAGGCTTTGGGCCTGATCCTGCCGGCTGGAGATGATGAGTCTCCCGCAGGAGGGACTGGATGTGCTGCCAGTGCTTTGCAGGAGGGGTTGGAGCGGTGAGACCTGTGCTGGGGTTGTGGTGTTGGCTCTCTCCACCGCTCGCTCCCTGTGCTCCCCACTCCAGGAGCGCAGGGCTGGCTCGCCAGCTGGACCTCAGACCCGTGGAGGTTCTCACGGAGCTGTTGGGGGCTGCAGGGTGGCTCCCACCCCTGGGTTCAACTGGAGGGTTCCTGCCATCAACTCAAGCAAACTGGGAGCAGATGGCCGGGGATGCAGGCAGCTTGAGCACCAGCCTCGTCTCTGCCTTCACCGCTGTGCTGAATCCGCCGGCGCATCCCCAGGAGGTAACGGGGACTGCGGGGCTGGGACCACGCTGTCGGCGCTCTGCTCCCACGGGACACGTGTCCTCAGCATCCGCCACCCCGCTGGCTCCTGGCTCTCATGGCAGCGCTCGCCCTCGGCTCCACAGCGGTACCTTAGCGACCAAACCCCAGGTTAGCTGCTCCCTTTTGTCATCTCCATATGGCTGCGTTTTTAAGCAATTAGCACAACACGTTCCGCTGATGTTTCCACATCCCTCTGCCGAAAGGCAGACCCTTCCTTGGGAATTGAGACTCACCATCAATGAAAAAAAAAAAAATTAAAAAAAATCCCTGCGGAGAGGAAAACCCCTCCAGGGCTGGTGGAGAGGCAGGGAAGGAGCGTGTCAGGGCTGGGGGGAGCCAGGCACCCCCATCTATTCCCAGCTCTGAGAGGAATGGGAACTACTCAGGGTTTGCTCACGGACTGTGAGGGCTGGGGAGCAAGACCTTAGTCCCCATCTACAAAACAGGCACCTGCTGCTGTGTTACCATGCTTTTAGGTCTTGCTTGTCTGAGAGAGGCTCCCCGCTGCCCTCGCCCCTGGGGCAGGTTGTGGCACTGCGGGGCCAGGAGGCTTTGTGACTATTTCCTGGCCGAAGTCTGTTTTCATGCCAAGCTTTTAATTTGTTTTATAAATTGCCAAATCCAGCAGGCTAAGCCGCGGGCCCCCTTCTGTGATAAAAATAAAATAACAGCTTGAACTTGGGAGGGCCGAGCGGTGGGGCTGGCAGGAAGCGGCTGATTAAAGGGCAGGTGGAAATGATGAGGCTCTGGAACCGGAGGCTTCATCTTCCGCTCTCAAGCAAAAATGCAGATTTGCTGAGTTTTGCTGACTTGGCTTTCGCCCATGTGCCGCGGAGCCTCCCGGCTGCACCGGCCCCGGGCTGGTGCTCTGCCTCTGCCGTGAGCTCGGGCCAGGCAGCCCCCAGCACACCGGGGCACTGCAGCGCTGTCCTCCTCTGTGCGTGATGTGGAGCGAGTTTGGCTGGTAAGTGCTCTGGAAATGCCCGCTTGGGCCAAACCCAGAGATGACGCACAAGGTGTTGCAGGTTTGGCCTCACCCTGTATCAATTCCATCTTCCCTGAGCCCTGGCAGGTAAACCCCACTGATTTATGGCTTACCTAAACCGACAGCTAATGTGCCATGAAATTACTCCAGAATAAGGGGGGTGCATTATTCTGGCAGAAAGCTCTCTGAATATTTGCTCTGCTTTGAAGGCAAGTTATTTGCTCCGGAGCAATGATTTTTATTTGCTAGCAGGCAAACCTGTAGCTTACTTGCATTTGAGCTGGAAGATCGCTGTGAAATTGCAGCAGGAAGGTTTCAGTCCCCTGAATATCTGCTGCCTCCTGGGGCGCCTTGCTGCAGAGGCTATTGACGCTGGAAAAAAAACACCTTATTTCCTGCCATAAAGTTTGTCTAACTTACCTCCCAGGCAGCAAACCCTGCTTTGATATTAAGCAAAATTGTTCTGGTTTTTATTTTGGAATTTTTTTATTTTTTTCCCTACTCTGAACCTGCGTGCACAGCGGGAAGGTGCAGTTACCTTGGAAACAGAGGTGGGATGCTGTGCGGTGGTAAAGCAGCACTTGGGCAGACCCCTTTTGGGAAGGTGGGCCTGGAAAAGTGTGGGCTGCTGGCTCCAGAGCCACCCTGGAAGACCGAGACTGGTGGCAGGTGAAGCTCTGCGGAGGGAGATGCTGCTCCGAGTCTGGGCTTTGGTGTGGAAATCGGGTCTGGGAGCCTTGAAGATTAAATCATGTTTTTGGAAAGCATGCCTTTTTAAGGCTTTTTCTCTGCTTTGGATTAGTGCAACTTGCTCAGATATTCCAAAGGGAAAGAATTTTTCATATCAAATGTAATTGTGCTGCTGCGGTTCTTCTGGTTTGTTCTGGTCTCCCGCCCCTTCCCTGCGGTCCCATCCCAGGAGCTGCCCCATCGCTGCTGTTCCTGGGTTGTGGATGCCGTAAGGGAACGCTGCTCTGATTAAAAGCTGTTGGTGTTTTTCATTTTAACCATAAAATCATTTCCATTCTCACTGGGTTTAATTTACAGTTGCAGCCAAATTGGAGCTGGGAAGGGATCCCATTGGTGGCTCATTTATTTGAAGGTGTCAGTACACAAACACTCATTCTGGGAATGCCAGCGGTGCTGGAGGGGGGAGATGTGCCGACAGCGGGTCTCAGCTGTGTCCCAGCCGTGCCCAGATCTTCCCGGAGAAGAGCCTTCAGCTCCTGGGGGATGGGGAGCTGAGGGCTGCAGTGGGGCTGCTGATAGATGGGGGTGACCCGCGTGAAAGCAAAGCCCGGCTGCAGTGCCTGGGCGAGCCGCAGCCGTTCATCCCTCTCGCTCCTCTCCCAGGGCTGTGCCAGCCCCGCCGGCCAGACGTGGGGATGGCCACCAGCCTCCCAGCACGAAGCCATGTTTTGTAACCCGGCTCAAGGAGGAGTCATTATGTTTTATAATGCCTGCAGCCATTTCTATAGCATCTTCATCCATTTCTTTTGTGCTTAGAGGGAGAAGAGCCGGTGTTTGCTGGGGCCCGCAGGTTAATAACGTCTTTTCTCCTTCGCAGCCACCCTGGGGACGCTGGATTTCAGCTTGCTCTATGATCAAGAAAACAACGCACTCCACTGCACGATCAATAAAGCCAAGGTACGTCTCAGCGCCAGGCGTGTGAACAGCAGGACTCAACCTGCCTGGAGGTGGCCACCTCTGTCCTGTTTGCGGGGCCACCAGAGCCCTGCCATGAGGCCACCCGGGTGCCGTGGCTGTGCCAAGCAAATGCAGCAGTGAGGGCAGCGTGTGGGGGTGGCCGAGTGTCCCCCCATCCCCGGGTTGCACCAGGGGCTCTGGTGTCCCCAACTGCAGCCAACTCTTCGCCATCTCCACATCCATCCCAACACCCAGTGCTTCTGCCCTCTCCTTCCCCTCCCTGCCTTTCGGGGCGTTTCCAGTGGGATGGAGATGGCTGCTCATCCCTGTGACGAGATGGTTGCAGCTACTGATGCTTTTTAGAAAAGCACCCAACCCAATGTTGTTATTTACTTGATGCCGTGACCGGCTGTCAGTTTATAAATGGCTCTTTTAAATGCTGCTAATCATTGCCACAAAGTGCTCTGCCTCAGCGCCTTTGCCGTCTGCGTGATTGAAGCAATTACGGGTTTTTTGCACATTTTGGAGCAGAAACGGATAGCTGAGGTCCTGATTCTGCCTCTGGGCCCTTGGAAGGTGCTTCTGGGTGCTGCTCAGTTTCTCTCTGCTTTATCTGGCACAAGGATCAGAGCAGCGACGGCTCCAGGACAACACGGCCGGGCCCTGACGGTGGTGGGTTGGTGGAAGAAGACCTTAGTCCTTGTAGATCTTGGGAAGGGGTGGAGGGTTTTTACAGAAGTCAGGAAAAACTGCAGGAGAACGGGCTGTGAGCTGAGCCCCCAGAGAATTAGCTCATGCTGTTTGCCTCCGTAGGATGCTCCTTTTCCCTCCAGCTGCAACTGGCTTATTTGTAGCCCCCACCCTAGAACCCACTGCTGAGATTGCACATCCCCACCCCAGGGTTCTCCCCGTCTGCAGTAAGACCTCAAGCACAAAAGCTTGGCTTTGGGGCTGAGCAGGGAGGCATCTGCCCTGGCAGACCTGGTGCTGCTCCCTGGGCAGGGCTGAGGCAGCCGGTGGGTTTTGCTTCCCTCCCCACCGCCCTCCTGCCTGTTGCCGTGAATTCGCCGGCAGCCTCTGGGTCAGGCTTCCCTTGGTGCGCTCGGGAGCCGTGCCAAGGAGGAGATTTCTAATTGGGTTTGCAGTGGGTGGAAGACGGGGAGGAAGGAGACCTGCAAGCAGCAAGTGATACATCTAACAGCAGCGAGAGCATAAGGCAGGGCTGATGGAGGAGAGCCCCGGTCCCCGCCGTGCCCACCCAGCTCTACGGGAATAGCGGTGCCCGACGCCGTCCCACGGAGCTGGGGGCAACACGTGGCACCAGCATCGCCCCTGCTTGTGGGGTGGGCAGACCCCACCCCTCGCTGCTCTGACATTCAAGTGTTCGAGTCCTGTTCATTTCCATTCTGCTCTCATTCTCCCATTTTTCTCTTTTTATTTACATTGCCATCTGCTCGCTCTCATTTCATCTCTCGCCTGGGGAAAGCTGCCAAAACTTGACTTCAAAAAGGTAAGGGCCAGGACCCCGGCTGCTGTCGGTGGGAGCCGGTGTTGGCTGTGTAACACCAGAAGCGTTGCTGTAGTGGTGTGGTGGTGCCTGGGGAGCGCCGGGGCCAAGCACACGAGCTGCAGTGATGGGATGTGTGTTGCCCTTGGACTTGGGCTGGGGCTGGCCTGGCTGGTGACTTGGGTACGATGGCTCAGGCCCCTAAAGAAGGTGCCCCCAGGACATGTCCCACCTCCAGCATCTCCTGGAGCCTTAGTGGCTGCCAGCAGACGTTAAAACCTGGACTGTTTCAGCCATGTGAGAAGTATTTTTCTTCTTCCCTTCGATAAGCCCCCCCACAAACAACCCTCTCCCTTTAGATCTTTTTGCTTCTCTCTATTTATTTTAATCTCCAGCACTTTTATATCTGCTGATGTTCCTCCTGAGTCCTGTTATTGGCTCCTGGGGAGTGGGAAGGGGGTTAGGAGCCTCTTGGAGGCACCAGCAGCAGGTTAAATCCAATCCGTTGCGCTTTGCCACCAATTTTCTGCTCTGCAGGAGGTCAGGACAGCCACTCTGCGTGGGGGTTTGCCCTGCGGCCGGGTGCCTGGGGACATCGGAGTTATTTCTTGGTGTACATTCACAGCAGAAGCTGTGAGGTGCTGGGTGTTTCCAGACCCTCAGATCAGCCTATATCCCAAGTTTGGATGGAGCTGGAATAGGCAAGGAAAGGAGGTTTGCTTTGTTGTGGGAAGTGTGGATGCTGGTAGCTGCAGGGCTATCCCCAGGCCGTGTGGTTACACCAGCAATGAGGCGCTTGGTGCCTCAGTTTCCCTAATAGCCCACAGAGGTGACTTGCCATCAGGAAGCTGATTTTGGAAGGCACCAGGTTGTCACCCTCACCAGGCCGGTGTGAGCCCCAGGCAACCGCAGCATCATCAGGGCTGAAGCAGATGCTGTTGTGGGGTGTCACGGTGCCAGGGAGGTGAAACCAAGAAACCCCAGCGCTCCCTGGCTGGAGCAGGGCTGTGGTGGTGTGCCCGGTGTTCCTGCCACCTCTCCCTGGCTGGCAGAAAGCTCGGGACCCTGTGCAGGCAGGGACAGGCAGGCTGCCAGCAGCCGCCTCGTGCTAATGGCTTTCAGTCTTGGCAGCAGCCCTGCCCGTCCCCTGCCTTTCACACTTCAGGCACGGCTGAATTCAGGCACGTTGTGGCTCAGCTCGGATCGATGGGAGAAGAAATCAGGGCGGTGTGGGAGCTGTTTCTGGACCACGGGGCAGGAGGGCTCTCCCAGGGTTATGCTGGGCCGTATCATCGTGTGTGGGAAACGGTCTGCCTGCCCCCAGGCTGCGCTGGGCATCACCCCCTCCTATAAAATGTGCTGGAAAATGGTGCGATGAACGTGCAGGCACCGAGGTCCGCGCCCTGGCGTGCGGGTTATGGCTTGGGCCAGGGTCTCCTTTTCTGCTCAGGCCTGCAAAGCCTGACCTGCTGCACGGAGCGAGATAATAACGTGCTATAGGGGGATCTATAGGGGCGTGAGGCAGCACAGACATTGTGGGGCTGTGCTGTCCTGCAGCTCAGTTGGTTTTCTGCTTTTGGGAGGAAGATGCCCTGGGCGAGCCTCAGGTGGCCGCGCAGGCAGCGCTGCAGGCAGCGGTGCAGGCAGCTCCCGGCCCCAGGCAGGCCGTGCAGGGCAGGCATTGCCCAGCCAAGCGTACCTGGGCTGCTCTCCTTGCACCACTGGCTGCAGCCACGGCTAGAAAACACCCGGGAGTTTCCACCCTGCCGAGCATTTGGATGCTCCCCCGCTTCCAGCCGAAGCCGAGCGCTGGAAGTCTGCACTGAGCATTACTTATGGATTTACTCATAAATATTTATCGCTGCAGGGAAATTCCCATCTCAAAGCTGTGTGTCTCTGGGCTGTCAGGGTGGAAGCAGAGTTTGCCCCATTTCAGAACGGGATGCCTTGGCCTGGGAAGAGGTGGCCAGGCTGGTTTTTGGGCAGCAGGGAGCCTGCTCACTGGCAGGGAGCTCACCATGGGGCGAATGACGGAACGAATCCATCTCCTGTGATTTCTGTATGCCTCTAGCGTGGTGTTAAATCGGCAGCCCGATTAGCCCGGCTCATAATTAAATCCTATTGATTAGCTAAATGTCACTGGCACGGAGAGCAGCTGGCAGCAGCTGGGATGCAGCGGGGCCGTCGGTCCCTGTAGGTTTGCAGCAGGGATTTTTGAGGCTGGGTAGAGGAAGGGAAAAAAATGAAACTCGGTCTCAGCTCCATCTCCTGTGCCATGATATGCAATTAATTGGTCCTGGCAGGAGGACGGGTTGGAGCTGGGGCTGCCAATGGGAGATTCTGCCCCCGGGTACAAGTCCTGTGGCCCTCCCCTGCCTCTCGGCTCTCTGGGAGAGGCTTTAGGCTGGAGGTCCCTCCGCGCAGAGGAAGCAATGGTGCTGGTTCCAGTGCGAGTCACTGGGAGGGGTGAGCTCCCACGGGAGCAGCTTTGCAGGGCAGAGCCACCGGGAATGCTCTCATGTTAAATACAGTTCTGTGCCAAACTCATATCGAATGACATGGGAGGGAGGTAGATGTGACATCAGGAGCCATTTTCAGGGCTCCTGTCACTGCATCTTCCATAGCGCATCTATTAAAAAAGCCTTTAATAGCCTCCTCAGAAGGTAATTTAATTGAACTGAATTGATGGGTGAATTACAGAGCTGCCTTTCTCCATCCATTTTCATGGGAATTTGTTTGCTTGCTTCTCATTTCATTTGCCGCGCAGCGCCGGGCAGGTGGGGCAGCTCTGCCGCGGGAGGCTGGGGAGAGCCCTCGCTTTGCTCGGCTGCGAGCACTTGGTGTGCCCACCCGGAGCCTGGGGGCCAGCCCAGCCCCTTGCTGCCCCGTCTGCCCGTGGAGGCTCAGCCGACGCCACCATCTTCCTCCCATCCTCCCGATCTGCTGCCTTCCCCTTCCGCTGGGCCGGGGACGTCACCGGAGAGGCACTGCAGATAAAGCAGAGCCATTTAGCCTCCACTCGCTGCTGATATTTATATCCCTTTGGCTCTGCTTTAGAAGCAAAATCCTCTTTGCTGGGCACCATTTGGTCTCCCTTGCCCCGGGGCAGTGCACTTGTCTCCAAAGGGGAGCCCTCACCGAGGTCAGGAGCAGCTTGGACCCTCGACCACGTTGTGCCCAGCAGGGAGGGGTGGGACAGGGGCATCCCGAGGGGCTGCCTGGGCGCTGTGGGTTAAGCTGGGTATGTTTATCGTACATGGAAATTATGGAAGCGATTTCCCCGGCATTCCTCTCTTTGATTTGCCCAAACCCAGGCCTTGGTGATTACATTTTCATCGCACGCAGCCTTTCCACCAGCAGCCCATACGAATGCTTTCCTGCCAGGTGGATCCCTGGCAGCTGCACACACTCATTAATCCTGGGCACCGAATACTCAGCTCATCACCCAAAGGGTGTGACAAGTCTGTAGCATCACCCAGCCTGGCTTCCATGCCTGGGTTGGACGGGTACCTCTGCAGAGAAACCCTCCTCTGATCCAGGCAGAGGATTGCCTTCAGACAGCCTAGAAATAATTCCTGCAGGGATCCCAGGGTCAGGCTGGAAATAATCCAAGGATTTACATGATGTACCCATTCTAATTCTCACTTAGGACTGGTAAAAATTAGGCTCCGTTTTTCATGCTCCTACGTTGCTTCCCTTCCCCGTGGAGTTTGTTTCCATGCAGTCTGTGCAGCAGTGGCTCTGAGCTGGGTTTGTGCATCACCCTTGGATAATTTTCAGCCCTCTGGTTGTTTAGAAGAGGAGCGGGTTTGTCTCCTCCCTCTCCCCAAAGCAGGATCAACTCCAGAGCATCGCTATAACTGACGTGATCCCCGTCATCCTTTAAAACCTGTGAGGGTCTCGTAGAAAATCCATCAGGAATGGCCACAGTGAGTGTTTCCTTGTGTCTGTTCTCTGGTAACCCCAGACTTCCCTGCAAACGCCGTGGCAGTCGGCTGGCGACAGCCTCCCACTGGCCTGAAAGCTGTTCTTCCTTCAGCTGTGCCTTAATAACAAAGAGTAGGTAGGTGCTATCACACCCTCTGGGAGCGCTTCAAAGTAACACCACAACAGCAGAGGTGTATGTTTGCTCATAAGCAATTATTAAATGACAAAACCCTGTAATTTTAAACCTTGAAAATCACTGCGCGGATATACTTAACCCCCAAATTAATTGTGATCAGGGTGTCAGAGTCAGCTGCTGGAAGAGCAGAGAGGTGCTTTGCGGCCGACGCCAGGTGCAGGTGAGGAGCCTTCCCGCAGCCCCTCCTCAGCACAAACCGCAGACGACGTTTGAACGCCGAGCGTGCTCAGCTTCTGCTGCGCAGCCCGGATCCTGCACCAACCGTGTTCTCCTCCTTCCCTGATCCCAGGGAAACTCTGCAGTTCTTTCATGGACCGATGACATCCCGGGGAAACGGGCATCGGTAGCTGGGCTCCACAAAGCCACCCCCCGCACCCAGCGTCTCGTGGGTGTCCTGACTCCTGCTTTTTGCTGTTGCTTCCCCAGGGCCTGAAGCCGATGGACCATAACGGTTTGGCTGATCCCTACGTCAAATTGCACTTGCTTCCCGGAGCCAGTAAGGTGAGACACATTTTTGCTTCTCCTTCTCTTCCTGGGGCTGCGCCTTTCCCTTGGAAATCAGAGCTGGGAGGTTCCCCAGGGAGCAGCTTTTCACCCAGGGGCTGCTGGTTGCTGCAGCCAGACCTCAAGTCTCCTGCCCGGCGCTCACGCAGGTGAGCAGGAGAGAGCAGCAGCAGGAGGTAAGAACTGGGGCTAAATCCACCCTTGCAGGGGCAGCGGGTGCCTCCCTGGTAAATCGCTGCCTGGGAGACGGGTGCCAGCCCTGACTCCTCACCTTTGGGAGCAGGAGGTGCAAACGCTGCACTCCAGAAGCCCCTGGGAAGCACTGGGTGAAATGATCTGGATCTATAAACAAACCAGCTATTTTTTTTCCACCCCTCCCCTTTTTTCTTCCGCATTTAAACCCCCTCAGATCATAATAAAGCAGAATATAAATCGTAAGGGAAATATTTCCATCTACTTAGGTTCAGCACTTGCTGGAGAGAAGTGTAATTAAAGATATTGATGTGTAGTGAGAGCTTGGTGTAACTGATGAGGATGTTGAATTTAAATGCTAAATGTATGTGTTATGAATGTTAACCGCAGTCTTATTTTACACTAAAGGAAAGACCTTTTTGGGGGAGGTATATTTACTTGTTACGGTTCAGTTGAATTAATTCATAATGTTCAGGGCGTTAGAGGGAGTTTTTAACCACATTTCAAGTTCCGCTGGAAATAGGAGAGCCAGGAGCATTTTCATCAGCGATATTATGTCATTTCCATGTTTTGCAAGTGTATGGATTAGCGTTTCTGCTGGAGGTGATGGAGACCAGAGAGGCGGGAGGGAAGCTCTGAGCTGAGGGTAGCACAGGAGCTGCAGCCTCCACAAACCCAGAGCAGCTGTGGGGGGACCCTCTCCTTGCCCCCCTGTCCCTGTGCCCTGATTCCAGACAGCACTGCCCGAATCTGCTGTGGCAGATGTGAGCAGATCTGCGGGATCGTGGATGAGTCCTGGGCTGGGGGGTTCTGTACAGCCGTCCCAGCAGCAGGACGGTCCCCACGTCCCCGGGGTGTTTCTGTCCCCACGTCGGGGCAGTCAGGCCCCTGCGGCAGAGCCCAGGCCGGGCACGCGGGCAGCAGGGCTGGGTCTGTTCGCCTCATGCAGAGCTGGTTACTGGCTACCAAATCATTCCACACGGGAGAAGACGACACTCCCAGAGCTCAGTTCTCTGATGTGGGTCGTGCCCCTTGCCCAGCGCAGCGTTAGCTGCGGGGTGATGCCCATCGCGTTACCCCCTTGGCTAAACCCACGCTCCTTCCCAACCCCCAGGTCCCAGCTTTCCCTGCTGCCCTTGTCACCCCTCAGCAGGCGTTATCCTGAGGCAGAAATGGCTTTGGAAACCTAAACGAAAGCACAGCACAAACGACAGAGGCTTCTTCTATCTCTGAGAGATCAAACCCAGAGCAAGCAGCTGCTCTGCACTGTGCTTGGGAGCGAGACGCTGTGCCACGGCCCCTCGATGGCTCCGCGGCAGCTCCTCCGGCTCGTGGCCGTGTCTGGCCGATCTGGGAGATGTTGGGTGTTTGAGGTGGTTTTGGTGGGGAAAGGACGAGCCAACAAGGCGACTCCCTGCTCTTAACTGCGAGCACAAACTTTTTCCTTCACCCCAGGCTTCACATCCCGCTCGCATTTAGCTCAGGGCTGGTGAACCAAAGACAGGGAATGTAGCAGCTTCCCGTGAAGACACACGAGACAACTCTGAGGTACTGATTTGCTTGAGAGTTCCTTACACCCAGCAGTGGCTGAGGCAGGGATTGAACTTTCTGACTTCACACCTTATTAGAAGGAAAAGAGCTGCTCTGCCAGGCTGTCCCAGGCTGGAGGGTTGATGGAGAAGCCCCACCTGAAGCATCCGGCCCTTTGCTTCTGCTCTCCCGTCCCTAGCAGAAGCGGGTGGCTCAGGGGGTAAGAAGATTAATGTCCCCTGACCTGGGGGGTGTGTGTGTGTGTGTGTGTGTGTGTGCCAGGATGCCCCTTCCATGGCGGGGACACAAGCGGCTACAGCAGCTCTGCTGTCCCTGGCCTCCCACTCCGCAGAGCTGCAGCACTGGAAGGAGTTGCCAGTGCTAACAAAATGCATATCAAGGAAGTTATTTTGAGTCAGGCAGGAACGGGAGCTGTGCTAGGAGCAGGAATGCAAATAAACAGCCAGAACAGCAAATTGGTATTTTTTAATGAACCTGAAAATACATTTTTTCCCCCCCCTCCTCTCTCTCTCTCTCTCTCTCTCCTGCTGCATAAATGAAATCGCCGTCCTCTCGCTGTGCTCTGCCAAGGTTCCCATTCTGCTGGCTGTTCGCAGCATGTGGGATGTGGGGTTGGATTGCTTTGCAAATGAGCCAGTGAGCTGCTGAGTCTCTGCCCCTCTGCTTGTCGCTGCGCTCGGGGTGGATTTGGGCCACCCCCTTGAGGACCGGCTGGGTTATGGTGCTGGGGCAGAAGGGCGACAGCACCAATTGCCCTTTCATCTCCAAACTGTGCTTCCTTTTCTCCCCTCTCCCTGCCCATCGGTGCACAAACCATCTCCCGGGGCCAGGTCCCACTGACCAGCATCTCCTTTGCTTTTCCAGGCGAACAAGCTGAGAACCAAAACGCTGCGCAACACGCTGAACCCCACCTGGAACGAGACGCTCACCTACTACGGCATCACCGACGAGGACATGATCCGCAAGACCCTGCGGTAGGGCCCCGGGGCAGGGGGTGAGCGGGGTGCTGAGCCTGGCCCCTGGCGGGGAACGCGTGTCTTGTCCCTTCCCCTCCCCTCCGGGCCACCCCAGGCATCCCTCCTCACCCCAGTGATGATTTCCTGGGAAGCTCACAGGGATCCCCAGCCCCCCAGAATGGTCCTGGGAGCTCCTTTTGGCAGAGCAGTGTGGAGTTGTTACCCACCAAAGCCTACAGCTTGTGCACATGCCCTGCATGCATCCATCACCCTGCAGTGACCGACGCTTGATTTATGGGGAGCCTGGGCTGGAACAGCCTGTGAGGAGCGTGGTCCTGCTTTGTCATTAACTTCATAACTCACTCGCTGGGCTCCTGCCTGCAGAGGTGCTGTTATTTGGTTTTAACCTCTTTGTGCCCAGCTCTCACGGGCTCGTTTTAAGGCTTTGCGTTCACATCTTGCTGAGAAAAATCTCCCTGGGAAAGCTCTGGGCCCTTTTCAAGGCTGATTTTTTTGAAAGCAAGCTAGAGGCACCCGTGAATTATTGTCAAACTAAATGGAGAGCGTTTCTATGTGTTTATTCTGTTCTCTCGGTTTGGTTCCGTCTCTGCACATTCAGCATCTCCTGGCAGCATCTCCCAGGGGCTGGGAGCTGTTGCGTGGAGCTGGCGGTGGGCAGGGGCAGCGTGGTGGGGCCATGCAAGCTTGGAAGTGTTGCTTTGTGGGGGGGCAGACACCTGCGAATAGAGAGGTTTTTGTGCCTTGGCCACCCTCCAACACCTGGGTGAGGGCAGGGAGTGACCCAGAGCCCGCGGACAGATCCTGCCCGGGGAGGGTGCTGGGCAGCATCGGTCGCTCCGTCCCTGCTACGCAGGAGGATTTGCTGTAAGATCTGCTGTCAAACAAGGGAGGATTTTGCATCCTGCTTTAAGGACTCAGGGCTTTGTTGGCTCCGTGGCTGGAATCTGACCCTCCTGATTTGCAGGTACCCTGGGAGTTTATTATTTTCTCTAAGAGCGCAAAGCTGCCTTATATAAAAGGTCCTGCTCAGAGGTGAATTTGGGCAGAGCCTACCTGTTGTCTGCTTTGTGCATAGAGATGAGAAATTTAGCACATGGAATTATTATTTCACATGGAAAATATTAGTCATGCTGAGAGTGCTGCAGGCTTGTTGGGCTGAAAAGCCTCTGGTTTATTATTATTATTATTGGTGGCTATTTTATTTACTTTTTCACTCCAGGCTTTGAAGTTTTCAGCTTCTTCCAAGTGTGGAAATCGGTTTGGAGAGATACGTTCAGCTGAGTTGTTTGTTGAGAGGTGCCAGGGAGCAGCAGGGCTTGACCCCCACCTTTTTGGAGCCCTCGTAGCTGCCTCTCCCTGGGGAAGGGCTGCGCTTGCCTTCTCCTGGGAGGCAGCAGGAAGGTGGGGGATGCTCAGTGGCAGGGAACACACAGAAATGCATGCATGGGCCAGGCTGGATTTGTCCTCCCCACAGAAGTCACAGGAGGGTTTGGGTTGGAAGGGACCTTAAAGATCATCCGGTTCCAACCCCTCTGCCCTGGCCAGGGCCACCTTCCACTAGCCCAGGTTGCCCAAAGCCCCGTCCAACCTGGCCTTGAACCCTTCCAGGGAGGGGGCAGCCACAGGTTCTCTGGGCAGCCTGTGCCAGGGCCTCACCCCCCTCACAGGGAATCCCTGGGTGCTGCGGGGAGCCAAGCGTGGCCACGGGCTCCCGCAGTGCTTGGCACATGGGGCTCCTTGGGCCCCCTCCAAATCTAAACACCATGCACAGACCCCTGCACCCCGCTTGCAGGACCCCGGGGTGATGCACAGGGACCTCTCGCTCTGCGGGGGGGATGTGGCTGAACAGAGACAGCATTTCTGTCCTGGGAGCTCCACGGGGAGCTCAGGATATTGCTGACAAGGTCAGTTAATGGCCCGTTAGCCAAAGTAGCTTCAAAGGGCACTTTTCCAGGGAGGCAAGGGAAGCCTGGAGCTCACCATCCATGCGGTTACCCTGGCCAAGTTCCCAGCTGGGCGCTCTGCAGGGGGTGAAACTTCCTTCTAATCCTCCTCTGCCATGCAGGGGCAGTGTCCCTGGGGTTTGGTGTCTCCTCTGCCATCAGAACCATCCATCAGAGCTGCCTCTGCAGGGAGTTTCCCAGGCTCTCCAGCGCTCTGCACGAAGGCTGCACTTCGCAGCTGAAGTTTCCTTGCCAGCAGCCGACCCCAGTGAATTAGTGACAATTACAGATCAAAATCCCCTCTTGCACGGAGAGGAATATCCAAGTGCAATTCTGACTCATCAACATTTGCAGCTAGCCAGTAGGGTTTGCTGGAGCCTGTCCCCATGGAGGCGGTGAGCCCCGTGATGGCATTGCCACGAGGGTGGCGGGTGGCCAGGAGTGCCACAGGGGCCACGTGAATCCTCACCTTGGCTCCAAGCATAGCGCTGGGGTCTGGCACTGCATCCAGAGGGAGTGGGCTTCATCCTGCCGGGTTTAGCCCCACTGCCCCGGCACTCATGAGGCTCAAGGTTTGGGCACCTCAGCAGCACCCATGGTGGAGGGAAGGACCAGCCCTTTCCTGCGTGGGGGCAGAAAGGGGAATCACATCCTCGGTGTTACCATGGTATTCAGCATGCCAAAGATGATCTAAAATCCGTCAAACTCTGGGGTAGACGTTATGTTTTTTTGAGAAGGGTTCAGGTGGCTCCATCATCTCCCTGGAAAGGTTGTGCGAGCAGAAAAGTGAAGTTTGTGAAATGGAACTTGCTGTAGGGCTGAGTCTTGTGGCTTTGGTTTGCCTGGAAACCACTCCAGAGAAGAATTAAAGAAACAAACTTTTGGGTGGAGAAGGTTTCCCAGCTGGGACCTCTGCTGCGGGGCTGTCACCTGTCATGTGGGCCATCTCCTCCCCTGGCTGTGGTGGGTCTTCCCCAGGGGAGGTTTCAGCCTCTTCTCTTGTGTGGACACAAAAAACTTTTCTAGTCAGGACTCTGATCCCTTTAAAAAATGTCCCACACGTAGATGGGTGTGTAAAGGTTCAAATGAAACATTTCTTGGTCCCATCTCCAAACCAGCTCATGGCAGGGTGGGTGCTGGGACACCCTTGGTGGCCCCGTGTCCTTCCCTGCGCTCAGGGCTTCTCTCTGTGCACAGAATTTCAGGTAGGAACTCAAACTCTTGCCTATGGCCTAGGGAATTCCCCTGCTAAAACAAAGCTTCTGAGCACCCTGGCTCAATTTCTTAACTTGCATGGGGGATCCAGAGTCTAAAATTCAAGTGGTCTTCATTTTCCTTAAGAGCAATTCCCCAGCCCCCTTTTTTCTCTTCTCCATCTTTGTGGTTGAAGATATTGGCAAAGGAGATTTTATTTATCCTGAGGCAGGTTTAGATGACATGAGACTTCTTGCAAACTAGCCACAAGGTAGAAAAATCCATCTTTTAGTTTAATTCCTTGCTTGGACTTTCTTCTTTTCAAAGACTGGATATTTAATCGAGTAGAAGGATGCAAGGCTGGGAGATGTTGCACCTCCTCATTTAGATACTTGTGTCTTTGCTGCCCAACTGGGGAGGGATCTTTGGTTTATATGAGGAGGGTAGATGGGCTGGGGTCCCTGGTGCCTGGGGCTCACTGAAGATTTTTTTATTTTGGTGTGGGTTGAGCGGTTTCTTTTCCACGAGCCTCTCCATAACAGCAGCGGCCACGGCCCTTCACCCTCCTGGTGCCGCTTCCTGCAGGAAGCATCTCTCGTGCCGTGTATTGTCCTGCCTTCGCTGTTTCCCTTCACCCACCCATCACCTTGGCAAAATATCTCCTCCTCTGCCAGGAAAACCTGACTTCAAAGCTGTGGGGACACTGTTTTTTCTTGCACTGATCGGGCAAAGCTCCTACAAGGCAGCTGTTGGTAGTTGAAAGAGCATGAGTGATGCTCTCCTCGGTCTCGGAGGTGATCGTTCCCCGGTGCCTCCTTGTGCTGAGATTCTTGGAGGGGCAGGGAACACGATTGCAAAGTCTCTTTAATGTAAAAATAACGACAGAGATCAAAGCTACCATCAGCCTTCGCCCCCCTGCTGCCTGGAGAGTGTGTGATGCAGTGGAAAAGCTGGAAAAGCACCCCAAAATCTTCCCTGCCCACCTGGGCTCTTGGCAGGACGGGGTTGATGGGTCGGTGTTGGCACGGGGCAATCTGCCAGCGCCTGCAGCCCTCCGGGGGGACAAGTGGCGTTTGCCTCATCACAGGGGCTGGAGTAGGGGCATCCTCTGCCTCCTGGAGAGCGGAGTAACAGATCCCCTCTTACCTGAGCCCCCCAGCCCCACGCTGTGCCCAGACAGGCTGTTCCTCATCCCCCTGTGGCCTCATCTGAGCTGGCTGAGCGACTTTGCTGTGACAGACCCAAGCACCGGGAGCCGTTGGGGTTCACATCCCCAAGCAGGGCCACCCCCAAGGCAGAAGGAGAGGTGAAGGCAGCCCAGCTAATTGCACTGTCAAGCAGGATTTTGTTAATGAATCCACCTCCTCAAAAAAAACACCAGATACTTCAGATTCCATGAAACGCAGCAGGTGGGAGGATCTTGAAAGGTCTCGTCCATTCATTGAATTAAATATCCTTGAGTCTAGCCCAAGGCTTAATAGCAATGGAACCACCCACCATCCTGAGAGAAGACAAATTCAGAGCCACTTGAAATACTCTGGACTCAGAGGGCTGGGCTGGCTGGGCTTGGGGGCAGGTTCCCTGCCAGCCCCAGGGGTAAATCCCACCTGCAGCCCCCGCTCCCAGTCCCCATCTGCAGGCACCGTTGCTCCCAGTCTGCGGTCTGAGCACGGCGGTGCCACAGCAGCTCGGCCACAGTCCCTGGTGGTGGGAAGCTGGGGGGTGTGACGGGGGCAGGCAAAGAAATGCTGCAGGGGAAATTGGAATAGGCAGAATACAATCGCCTACATTTAAATAATACATGTAATATGCAATAAATAGATTGTATTCATAATAAATATCAGAGCTGGCCAGATACTGGATACAATTATTCATATCCAGATATATTGGCAAAGTGATGCATTATTCATATGATAGCTAGCCCACGAATGCCAGAAATTCTTTGTTTAATCATGTGTTTGACAAACATCATGACTCATTAAATACATTATTCAGAAAATAGTATTAGATCAGGTCTAATAGGCGTACTGCAGACACTTGGAGATTCGGGGTCCCAAATTGCTTTACTCCTGAAGTGCTGAATGAGGTTTGCTCCAGAACTGCAGACACGCTCGTAATGTCATCTGGTTTTACTGTGGTTTCTGTGCTCAGACTTCGAGGCATTTTGTGATGGGGCCCAACACTGAATCCTCCTTTCGGTTTTAGGAGAGCTGGACAGGCCCAGGACACTACCTTTGTCTGTTTTCTCTCCTTTCCAGGCACTGCCTGTCCTTAAGCCAAGCAGACATCACCTGCACGTCCGCTCCTCCATCGAGAGCCTCCCAAGTTGCTATAGGGACCATAAAGCATCTTAGATACATGAGATGCATCTTCAGACTCCGCTGCCTATTATGTGCATGCGCGTTGTGGAGAAGGGTCCTCAGTGACCCCCATTCTCCCCTTTCCACGGTGGGAAAGAGGCCGGAGGAGCGTGTGTGTGAGCAGAAGTCGTGAGTCAGCGGAGCGGGGTTGCTCGAGCTGCGCGGTGAGTCAGGGCTGTAGCCCAGGAGCCCGGGCTGAGTAGGAGGGAGAATAAGTTTAATGAGCAATGATTGTTCACTTGCTGCTTAGTTTTCTTCCAAGGTGGTTTTCACTGCCCTTAACATAAAGATCAGAACCCCCTCAGTGGAAGGTGTCAAATCAAAAGCCGAGCTCAAGGGATGGGGTTTAATAAAGAGAGACGAGGGAGGGGTGATGTTTGAGTTAAAGGGCTCAGGATGGCAGGTGAGCGTGGCTGCCAGAGGCGTCTCTTGCTGTTTGTCAGGGAGCTGATTTTCTAACCCAAGGCATAAAAATTCCATCACATCGATTACTCCTAATAAAATTCAAGCCGGTGTAATTGCCTTATGCCTGTTTCCAAAGGGAGGGCTGGGCCAGAGCTGCCCGCTCCTCTGAGTCACGCTTGCTGCCTTCACTTACAGGGCACTGCCAGCCCGCCTGAGTCAAAAACACCGTCCTGGTGAAGATGAACTGCAGCCGGTCTGAGGGACTGGGAGGCCTGACACGAAACTCCATGTCTGAACCACCTCTGGCTGGGCACGAAATGTGGGGACACGCCTGAGAGGTGGCCAGAAATGGAAGTTGGAGCGGGCTGCCCAGGGAGGTGGTGGAGTCCCCATCCCTGGAGGTGTTTAAGAGTCGGGCTGACCCAGCGCTGAGGGATCTGGTGGAGTTGGGACCTGCCAGTGCTAGGTTAATGGTTGGACTGGAGGAGCTTCAAGGTCCTTTCCAACCGAGATGATGCTGTGAAATGCCAGAGGGAAAATGGGGCTGGGAGAGGCCCGGTGATGTCTCTGGCTCCTTCGTGCTGCTCGGAGACAGCGGCAGTTCCCAGGTCTTGCTGATGTGCCAAAAACTGCCTCCCAAGGGTTCTGCACAAACACCCGGACTGGTCTGGGATGTCAGCAGGGACAGGGGGATGGCCACGGCGCTGTGCCGGGCTGTGCCGCCCCCGTCACGCAGCACGTGTGGGTCTGCCCGGGACGCTGCCGGTTCCGGGGGACGAGGGGGACATGCATTCTGCAGCAGGTCAGGGCTTGTGGGCCCCGACACTGCCCCGATTTGTCACCTTTCTCCCTCGGGGAAGGGTTTGCCCTTCGGTGGGGGGCAGCTGTGGTGGTTTGGCTGCTGCGGAAGGAGGAGTTGTATGGAGTTGGGGGGGGATGCTGGGGCTGGCAGCTGCCCGGGGCTGAGCTGGAGGTCTCTAGGCTGTAGGATGCTGCAAGGGGCTGGTGGTGTCAGGGCCACTTGCTAAGGTGGGAGCAAAGGGCTTCCCGTGTCCCCATGGGCAGTGAAATGGGGCTCAGTGGGGCTCTCCAGCCACTCCAGTGCCACACTGGAGATGCTCTGCCTGCCACCACTCATTCCCTCCCTGGGCTTCTGCCCATCCTGGGTGGTTCTGGGGCTTCACAGCAAGTGGGACGTTGCATTTGATATCTCGTGGTGCTTCTGGGGCGTATCCAGACGTTGTCGGGGGAAGATCTTGTTACTCATGTTCTTAACAGGTAAAACCAGCACCAATCCCTGCCTCCCCCGAGCGTGCAGGAGACAGCACCGCGCTGCAATTGCCGGGTGTAAAAATAACCCCCTGGCTGGCAGCTCCTCGTGAGGGCCACGTTCCTCTCCTCTTCAGCCCAGCTTTCGTCACCGTGCACTTGCTTTCCCTCCCCAGAGCTTTGGCCAGATGGGTGTGGGGTTGTGCATGCCTGGCAAGTGCTGCTTCTTGTCTGGAGCTGCTGCTGCTCCTTTTTCGGTTTTGTTCTTTAGAAGAGAGGCGAGAGGAGGAAGGGAAATAGGAAATATTGTGCCTGCATTTGAGATTCTCTTTGAGGATTTTACTGTTGTGGTGGGGTGGGTTTTTTTTCATGGGTATCTATAGTAACGCTGCATCCAGCTACAGTTTTCTGGAGAGCAGCTTTCCCCGTCTGCCCGCTCGTATTATTTTTTTCTAAACCCCCTTCCTCTGCTGCTTCCCAGGGCTGATGGTCCTTGTGCCACACGACTGAACCATCCCCGTGGCTCCCTCACTGCCTTGTTAGTCACTTGTGAGCATGAGGGTGGTCAACCCATCCACGGATAAACATCCACGGATGCTGCACAGGCCGGAGGCATGGTGTTCTGTTAGTCTGAGGAGGGATTGCAGGGCACAGTTTATCTCTAATTACTTTTACCCCTTCCTGAATAGGTCCCGTTTGTTGAAACCCAGCAAGGCAGAGCGTGGTCCCTGGAGGCAGAGGTGTTCCCCCGGAGGAACAGGCACCAGCGAGAGCAGGTGTGAGAGAGAAAAATATCAGGCAGGAAAAGGACAAGAAAACACTGCAGGAAAATTTTTTAAAAAGGGGAGAAAGGAGGGAAGGGAAGGGAAATGCCTTTCCTTTATGGACAGGGAGCCCAGCTGGTCCCTGCGTGGCTCTGGTGGAGCTGTGGGATGCAGGATGCTCCCTTCGGAGGGGGACTGGATGGCTTTCCCTGTCCCCAGGTCCAGGCAGTGCTGCTGGGGGACAGCTGGTCCCTCGCAAGGCAGCCACCACCCTCCTGGTCCCTCTCTGGGATTTCAGGAGCTGCGAGCAGAGGGTCCCTGAAAGCACTAACTTTGTTCTTCTGTCGTCCCTCCTGATACCCAGAGCGGGCTGGGAAGCAGCAGAGAAATGACTCATTAGCTGTCAGCTCAGGGAAAGGCATTTATAGCTTCTGCACAGAAAACGGCCTTGGCTCAGCATCACCATCGCTGCCCTCAGGTGCTGGCTGCCATCACGGGACCCGGCCCTGCGCAGGACCCCGGCGGGGCTGGGAGAGCTTCGCCTGATGCCTTCTGCAGGCCGGGTCTGCAAATCCCTCCCGGACTTCTCTGCACGGTGGGAGAGGAGGTGGAGGACCCCAAACATGTCCCAGCCCGGGCAGCCAGGTCCCCAGCACCCGGGGACACCCTGAGAGCTGCCACACTTGGAGAAGTGCCCGAGCTCCTCGGTGCAGGGGGGAGGGAGCTCTGCAGGGGGGGGACACGCTTCTCCCAGCCCTGACCTCTGAGCTGGTTTAGGCAGAGCCGAGGAGGGCCAGGCAGACTGCAGCTGGGCTGGTGGCAGAATAGTTTTGCTTTAGTGACCGATTACTTTGATGCTTTAATGGAAGAGCCATTAGGGTGTTTGAGGCCCTGGGTTGCTTTTCTGACAGCGCCTGGGCTGGGGTGTGTGTCGGACACAGCGGGGTTGTGATGTTCAGGGTTTGTGAGCATCTCCGTGCGGGGAGCCCGACCCCCGGCTGGGTGACAGCCATCCCGAGGGGCGCTGAGCCCTGGCCAGGATGAGGTCTGAGCAGGAGAGAGGGCCGTGGTGACTGTGGGGCCCTGTCAGGGCACGCAGGTGGCTGCGTGACGGAGCTGGGAGACGTGGTGTAGCACAGGCATAGCCTCCTGCATCCCTCTGCTTCCCCATCCCATCCCATCCCATCCTCCCTCCCAGCACCTCGGGTCTTGGCTGTGGAGGTGAAGCAGACCAAGATATTGGGTGTCACATTTAAGCATCATGAGCTGTCCTGGCTGGGCTGCAGCAGTTGCCTGCAAAGGACGTGCCTGGTCACTGCTCTGGGGAATGGCGGCCTGAAGTTGTCCCCTTGCTGGGGGGACCTGCAGTGTGAGGGGGCAGCCCCGTCCCTCGTGCCATCACCTCCCCTCTCCCGGGCAGCCCCGCTCACCCCGTGCTTGTTGCAGGATCTCGGTCTGCGATGAGGACAAGTTCCGCCACAACGAGTTCATCGGGGAGACGCGGATCCCGCTGAAGAAACTCAAACCCAACCAGACCAAAAACTTCAACATCTGCCTGGAAAAGCAGCTGCCGGTGAGTGGGGGGTTCAGAGCAGCATCCCCCCCCGGGGGCCCATGGATGCAGCAGCTTCTCCTGCGGCATGGGGGAGTGTGGGGTAGTTTGACCCCTCAAACACGCTCAGGGATGGGGAGAGTGTCCTTTGTGCCGGGGAAGCGGGTGTCTGGCCGCAGCTGTATCCCAGAGCAGCCCCCAGACTGGGTGTGTTCCCTCCTCCAGATAGATAAAACAGAGGACAAGTCGCTGGAGGAGCGCGGCCGGATCCTCATCTCCCTCAAGTACAGCTCTCAGAAGCAGGGGCTGCTGGTGGGCATCATCCGCTGCGCCCACCTGGCCGCCATGGACGCCAACGGCTACTCCGACCCTTACGTCAAAACGTGAGTCCTGCTCCGCAGCCAGGCGAGACGCTGCCGCTGCCAGCCCTCGGAGACGGCGTGCTGGCCTCTCTTGCCTCTCTCCCTGCAGTGGAAATTAATTGATCTCATTAGGAGATGCAAATGAGGGCGTCACGGCAGCAGCTGGCATTCGCCTGGAGCGTGTTATTCCCCAGCAATTATTTTTACAGCGCTTCAGAGTAACGTGGGTGCGGGATCTGCCCCGTGGCATGTGGCCGTGCCCGCCCCGTGCCAGGGCAGCACGTTGTCCCCGCCGGCTGAGCAGGGACTGGGTGGCCGTGGTGCCCCGCTGCCAGGCTCGGTGCTTGGGAGAGGGTCTGCGGCAGGGATGTGGCCCTGGGGACAGATTTGGTGGCCCAAAGCAGACGGGGACAGTTGGGTTTTGGTGACGGCACGGCCCCAGCCCGGTGGGTGCTGGGTCTCACCCCAGCAGGATGGTTCTGGGCCTCGCTCAGCGCCTGCGGGCGCCTTTGCCTTCCTTCCCAGTGATCCCTGAAACTTCCCACTCTCTGAAGCCTGCTGGGATGGGGGTGGCTGCTGGCTCGGGTCTGGCTGGTGGCACTGGGGCACGGGCATCCCCCCTCCCAGACCCAGAGGACAGGCAATTAATCACCCCCTTCCCCAGGGCAATTAATCACTCCCAGCCCAGCTCCCAGCCCGGCAGCGGGGCCAGCACCCCACGCTTTGGAAAGGCTCTAATTACAACGTGTGTATAATTAGGTCAGACAGCACTTTAATTGCAACCCATGGCTCCGGAGGCTCCAGAGCCTGGTTAACAGAGCCGAGGGCACATTTACAGGTCCCGCTGACACTTTCCAGTGTAAGTGATGGGGAGTACCTTCCTTTTGAAAAATACCAGCAATGCTTAAAAAAAAAAAAAAGAAAAAAGAAAGAGCCATTAAAATGACTGCAGTGGGCTGCTGCCACTTGGCGTCACCCAAATGATTCAGGGAAGTCGGTGTCATCCAGGGGCTATTAAGGGATGCTGAGGAGGGTGACGGTTTGCTGACGCAGAGCCAGACTGGCGCGGGGCCCCGCATCGCTGCAGGGTTTTGGGTGAACAACATTTTTACAAACTCGCTTTCTGCAAAGCTGGCGGGGGGGGGGGGCATGGTGGTGAGGAAGGGCTGGCAGCCCCCCCTGCACCCATCCCACGTGCACCGACCCAAACTTTGGCACCTTCAGGGGTGATATTTGTTAGGGCAGAGCTGGCGGGATAAACCGTGCCTGGGAGGCCAGTAATGGAGTTTACCAGCAGCACACGCTTTCGCTTTCCTATTTAATTGTTCCTTAGGAGCGGAGGTGTTCACATAAAAATCCACTCTTGCTTTTTTTAAATGCTCATCGGAGGCTCAGTCCCTGAAGTAACATAATTCCTGTTGTTGTACACAGTCATTTTGTAGGTCCCCCTCGTGCTACCTGCAGTAGATTGTACCCTCAGGGCTTGAATCAGAGCAGATCTACTTCTTGGTACAAGCCCTGATTTTTTTAATTATGAAATTATCTGGAAAGTGTAACGAGGAAGCAGAACTGGTGTTTAAAGGAGCGGCACCAACACGAAACGATGATGTTCTGACTTTGGCCTGGCCCAGATTTCAGGTGCCCTCTCCGTTTGATGGCACTTTAATCTCCTTTGCTTTTAGGGCCGGCTGCTGTGCTGCAAAATACCTGCAGGGAACAGCTCCTGCTCCCTCTGACACCCCTGTGTGTGGTTGCTGCCTCCTGGCAAGGCTCTGGATGAGCAGACTGGTCGCACAGTCCCAAGTCTGGACTGGTTCTGGGCTGGGAACGTTTGGGTTTGGAAACTGGGAGCATGCGTGCAGTGCCAGTGTCCCCTAGGGACTGGAGCTGGGATAATCGGTGCTCTCTGACGGCAGCCAGCGATGCACCTTGTGCTAACGTGGGGGAATGCTGCTTCCTTCCAGCCATCTCCAGCATTTTGGCAGGGGAGGAAGGAGCTGCAGGTTTGGGGGGGGCTCAGCCTTCCTCCCTGGGAGGGGGTACGGGGCCTGCGCGTGACCGAGCTGCCTTGGTTTTGTTGCAGTTACTTGAAACCAGATGAGGACAAGAAATCAAAGCATAAGACAGCAGTGAAGAAGAAGACGCTGAACCCCGAGTTCAATGAGGTGGGGTTTCACCCGTTGTAGTTCTCATCTAGGGGCTTTTCCCAGCCCTCAAGACTTAAAAGGGGAAAAAAAAAAAACCCAAACACCCAACCTCAGTCGTTAGGTGAGGGGTCAAGGTTGAGTTCCCTGTGGGTGGCAAAGGGCAGCAGCCCGAGGAGGAGGATGGACAGCCCCAGCCCCAGCCCCAGCCCGCTCCTGGGGGTCCCGGCCCCTGCAGGAACCCGGCACGGGCCCATCCTGACTCTGTCTCTGCTCCCTGACAGGAGTTTTGCTATGAGATAAAGCACGGTGACCTGGCAAAAAAGACCTTGGAAGTCACAGTGTGGGACTACGATATTGGAAAATCAAACGATTTCATAGGTGAGTGGGGCACTCCAAGAAGGTCTCATTGGCCTCTTTTGTAATATTTTTATCTTCACCTTCTGTGCCTCTCTTTTTTTTCATCTGCTGTTCTTTTGCACTTCTTCAGCCTCCCCGTTTGTTCTCCATCCCCACGTTCATTCGTGCTGGGTTTCTGTTCTGCTTTTATCCCTCTCCTGCACCAGTTCTGTTTTTATCCCTGTCCTGCAGCCGGCCCCGCTGCTCCTCGCTTCAGACATCCCCTGTGCAAGGAGCACCTGAGCAGGGAGGTGTGTCCCCTGCTCCCCTTCTGTTTTCAGATCTCTTCATCTGAATAAAAACCAGGTTTAGCGGGGATGTTCCATTTATCTCTGTTAGGTGTCCAGGCTCCTTGTGACTTTGTTACCGGTCACTGATTTATCGCTAACAAGTGCCCGGTAGCTGTGAGAGCCGCTGCGACTGCAGTGAGTGTCCAGCCCCGTGGCACAAGGACCAACTACGTCTCAGACCACGGCCGTGAGGGGCTGGGGAAGCCGGGCTGGGGTTGCCCGTGTGTCACATCAGGTTGTGGCACTGGATGCTGGCTCCATGACCTGGCTCCGTGTGGCGTCCCCCGGCATCCCTCGCAGGGCTGATGCTCACTCCCACCTCTCCCTCTCTCTGTCTCTCGAGGTGGAGTCGTGTTAGGAATTAACGCCAAAGGCGAGCGGCTGAAGCACTGGTTCGACTGCCTGAAAAACAAGGACAAGAAAATCGAGCGCTGGCACACGCTAACGAACGAGCTGCCAGGGGCCGTCCTCAGCGACTGAGCGCCACGGGGCCGCTCCCGGGCGGGCACAGCTCTGCCGGCCACAGCCTTTGGACTTCTCTCGTTCATGGCTTTGGAGACGGGGGATCGTGGTACCGGGGCAGCCGGGAGAGCGGGACACCCCACGCCAGGGCCTGGCTGCAGGGAGACCCTTCCCAGGGAACAAGGCAGCGGCGGTTTGTTCTCAGCAGGTCCCATCCCCTGAGGTTTTTCTCAAACGCCTCTTTGCACCCCGACACGCTCACACCCACACGGGCATGCACATGCATGCGCGCACACACACACGTGTGCACACACACAGACACCACATGCCTGCATGCACTGCAGTTCTGACTCCTCTCCTAACTCTTTGCTATACTGAATTACCTTCTCGCTGCCTTGCAATTCAGTGGCAAAAAAAAAAAAAAAAAAAAAAAAAAAAAAAACGTTTGTGTATCTCATATGAACAAAAGGCATCACTAAAACCTGGGACTGTTGTCTCGAGGCAATTATGCCATATTTCTGGTGGTTTGTCAGTCTCTGTGGTTTGGGCCCAAACAGTCTTTTATGCATTTAAAGCTCCTCCGTTGGAATGATTGTGTCCCCTGATAACCTAGGAAGATCGTTTGCTTTTCTTCCAGAAATGTTGTGCTCGTCCTCTCCACTAACCGATGGGAAGTTGAAGGTGCTGTGCAGACCACAGCTCCCCTCCCGCGGGCCCCAGCGCCGGGTGGTTTCACCTTTGCAGAAGCGAGGGGCAAAATCAAAAGCTCAGCGAAGCCGCCGGCCGTTCCTGCTTCCCAGGACCAGCAGCACTGTCTCGTGCTGCCCTCACAGCAGCTGCTCTCCAGGCTTCAGCACGACTGTTTTTCTACCAAAGCTGGCTTTCAGACTAAATTTTTCTATCACATTTCCCTTATTCATCCTTTTTCCAAGTCATGCCATTACCTAAAACCCAAGCTGGGGGAAGGCGGTGAGCTGAGCTGCCGCCCGTGTTTGCGGCGATGCTCAGCTCTGACCCAGCCGTCAGCATGGGTCTGTTTTCTGCCTCAAAACAGCGTCCAAACCAAACTTCTGTGTACAGCACAGTAATAATGTAATAATATTATTACAATAATCCCAGCTCCTGTCCTCCTTGACCCTCTCCGACTGGTCTCTGCAGCCTCGTCCCACCAGGCCCCGGCTCTTGTTCAAACACAACTTCAGCACATTTGCACAAGAGCCGGCACCCGGTGGGACGAGCTAAAACTTTCTCCAAAACGCTGCACTTTGCCAGAAATTTTTGAAGCCTTTAAACCATGATTTCTGAGGAAGAGCTGCTGTTTCCCCACAGGTCTCAATTACCTACAGCTTCCGAGCCCTGCAGCTGGGTGCATGTATTGCCTTTTTTTTTTTTTTTTTGATTGGGGGGGGGGGATACAACATTCACAGGGGCTTTTTTAATAATCTACTTAATATTTGTAATGCATTCTATAGCTATGCATGGATTTTATTTGAATACCAGCAGCGTATTGGGGAGGATGTTCCCATTAATCCTCTCTGTCTGTCATGGGTCCAGCACCCTAAAACCTGGTTTGGGCTGAGCTTCCAGGAGAGCTGCGGGCACACCAGGTAGGCTGTGCCTCCCTTTTCTTACAGAGTTACTTTCAATCTATCATTTGTTTCAGCACATCTTGCCCTGAAACTGGTTTATGGCTGAGGTGGAGCAGGACATGATCTGTGTGAGTGTGGGTCCCTTCACTTTGTATCCCCGTCTTTCCGAAGCAGATGGTCCGTCCGTCCCAGCTGCATGCAGAGTGGTGGTCGTCATGCCAGGCCTTGTGAAATGTTTGATACTGATGTTTTGCTACCATGTGAAGGCTGCAGAAACTGTCCTTAACCTGCATCCTAAAAGACTTTTGTATTTCAGTATTATCTGTGTACTTTTTGTCAGATTTGTTAATATTTATAATGAGAACTCAAAATAAAAAGGAAAAAAAAAAAAGTCGATGCTGGCAGCACAGCTTTTGAATCCCCCCACAGCACCTGAGCTCAGCATGTCACAGACTTCTGATGGAGCAGCAAGTGATCTGGAGACACGAGAGGAAGAGCTGGAGACTGGTGAGAACTCGGGGAGCAAGGAGATGGTTTTAAACCAGAGCACGGGGTGCTGCTTGGCTTTATTCTCCACTTTCTAATCTCTTGCTGCTGCAAAACCCCAAACCATTGTAGCTGCGCTGGGTCCCTGTCCCCCACTTTCAGCAGGGTCCCCACCCTGTCTCAGCAGGGTGCTCTGAGGTTGCACAGGGACCACAAGCGCTGGTGGTGGAGAGAGGGAGTGAGATTAGTCAAAGAAGGATTATAAAAGCCCCAAAACTCTGGTCTTTCTGAAGTTTCATTAACTTTGCATGAGAATTCAAAAAAATACAAGAGGCTGAGGGTCTATGTGATTTAGGAGCCTATGGATAAGGCTTCTGAGCACAAGATTTAGTGCCACAGACAGCAATGCCCTGAGACTGCTTTAGCATTTTTCAAGAGAGGAATTTGCTATCAGCAGCCTGTCTGCCTTCAGAGTTAACTGTCTTTCCAATTTTGATTCTGAACACTTACATTGCTTTCAGACTGGACTGAGCTCCAGTCACAAGATTTAAAGGCTCACTCTCCCCTCCGCAGTTCCGTTTCCATCACACATCAGCCACAGGGACGATCCCAAACCACGCCTCATCCCCTCCTCTCCTCCTCCAGCCCTTCTGCAGGGTCTGCGGCTGCAGCAAGCCCAAGCAGGGGCTGGAGGGGAGCAGTGCTGCAGGGAGCAGTGATAATTTACCTCACTAAATGGCCGCAGGAGCCGGTGTGGACTGGCACCAATTACAGTGACATTTGGAAGACTGAGGGTTTTTTTTTTCTCTGAGAACCAAGAACAAAACAAAAAGCCCCAAACCAAGACCACTACAATGACAGGTACAAGGGAGCTGAGACACGGCTGCTTGAAGAACAAGTATTTGCTTTTCTTCTTGTCCTCACCGCCAGCCTTGCCCCCCCTTGCTCTGCTCCCTTTCCTACCTGCAAGTGGCTCACAGGCCCATAGCTCAGGGAGGAATTGGAACAGCTCAGTAACATTGTTTTAATTTCATTAATTGGCCTTTTATTTTCTGAGAAGCTGAAAAGCAACATTAGATGGGCCCCTCTGATCTCTGCTGTCTTTTGCTGGTCCTTGTTTAATTGTTGCTGTTAATTAGAGCTTGTGTGTCCTTGCTTTATGTTATTAGGATGATTTACTTTCATGCTAAACTTAAATCTGGAAAAGTGCAAGCAGCTGAAAAACTGAAATCTGAAAACTGCTGCATTCTGGCCTCGATAAGGAGAGCAGCCAGGCTATGGGACTACTTGAAAGGCTCTCTACCAACAGAAATAAAAATTCCCCACATTAAGATTAAAAAAAAAGATAGGGAAATGGTTCACAGTCTGCTCACCATTTGGTCTGACAGATAAAATGGAAAGAGAAATCCAGGAAGCTGAGATTTCAAATGTTGCAAACCAGAACGATTCACAGTTGTGTACATGTAAAAACACACGTGTGCTTGCTCCGCTCGGCTGTGCTGCTGCAGCCCTCCAAGCTTTAATTAACTGTTATTTAATTGAGTTGATGAAACAACAAAACGTCGTTGTCCCTCGAGGGAATGACCCTCAGCTACTTGTCAGTTATGGGTCACCAGCCACTAAGGACAGAATCACACAATAAATTGTGATTTAACTTTTGCCTCGGTGGTTGTTCCTTGCGACAGGCTCCACCTACACGACGCTCTGCACCGCCCCGGGCCGAGCTGAAGTGGGATCTTCCAGCAGCTTCTATCAAGAATATAAAGTTCTTCTGCCTGCAGCAAGGAGACAGAACTCACACACAGAGAAAACCTGCAGTTGATAGGAGCCTGGGTTAGAAAATATTAAAAACTTTTGCCTGGACAGAATTGTGCAATGCACTGAAGTGACCCCATTTCCCAGGTGCTGGCACTGCTGGTAACCCGAGGTGCAGAACCCAAACTGCAGCCTCCTTCCTGCTGGTGCTTCTACTTGAGCTCTGTCACTACCATGACATCACTGAAGGGATGAAAGGGTTTTATCTGACCACTTCTGAAGAAAGTCTGCCAGAACGCAGCATCTTCCCTGGAGTAGCTCTAGCAGTATCCAGTGGCACAGACAGTCCGATGATGGGAAACACAATTAATAACAAGTTTTAAAAACAAACCCACAAGCCCAAAACCAAAAATAAACCTTGCAAAACCAGAAAAAGAACCACATGGCAGCACAATAACCTTGGAAACTTTTATTAGTATTATTAAACCAAATTAACTAACAGTTACAGACAGGCAGCATTGCCCTACGTGAACAGGAACAAAAAAGCAACACATGGTACGTGCAGGCAGCTGAAATCCCAGCGTCTGCTAAAACAGGACAGGGACAATCCTCACACCTCCTGCACCTGAACAGTATTTCTCAGAAGAAAAGTCAAACAGGAAGTTGCTGTGCACATCAAAATCCTAATCCAAAACTCAATTATATCCAGGGATTATTTTTTTTTTTTTGATGAGGGCTCCCAAAAGTGTGGTGTAATTAAACAACAGGCACCTTCGTAATACCGACCAGATTTTTCTCATATCCTTGTCTAACACTGGCAGGGAATTTACTGCTGCACTTGCAATCTCTGGAGAACACTGCCTTTTTCTCATTAGCTTTTTGCACAGCAATTAATCTCCTTAATCAGTCAAATCAGTTCAACACTAAATCACAAAAGCACTAAGAAAAAAGAAAACAAGAAATTACCTTGTTAAATTTAATGAGCAAGGAAAAACATAGACTACATGGGCTGCAACAGTGCTCCACACTCCAGCATGGAAAAAATGTAAGTGCCTGAGCGGTAACAGCAGTCCATTGAATTACAATCATTTTGTCTGTAACGCTGAAAACCGTGTAATGCAACAGAGCAAGAAATTCTCTTGCTTGTGAGTCTATGAGCAGAAAAAACCCACCACACAGTCAGCTCGGTGAGGGTGTTACACTCAGAAAACAGTTTAGAGATACTATTGATACTGCCCTTACATGCAGGGATGGTGGAAAACCAGTACAAACTGTGTTACAAAGTAGATTTTCTTCTGTTCTCGCTGCAGCAGTTAAAGAAGTCCAAGCTTTACCATTGTTTACGTGGCCAACAAGGGCTGCAATCCACAAGCTGCATACAGACAGCAGAAAGCAGGTGATGTATTAGAATTTACTCACTATCCATTTTAATCACGGAGGAGAGCTCTGATCCAGAACAATTATCCTGTAGGGGAAAACATGTTATGCTTTTTTTTTCCTATTATCAAACTACAAGTTGAAGGGAATGGGATTTCATATTGTTCCTTTCGCCCCCTCGGTGTGGAAAACAAGAGTCTTACCAAAGGCCCAATTTAATTCACAGAGAGGCTCACCTGAATGGCAAAGGCAGCTGTTCCTCTAAGGGGATTTCTGCTCCTCAGGACACGTCTCTAAAAAAACACATAAATTCATCTCAGAACTGAGAATACATAGAGCCACACGACACTTCAGAGAGAAAACTCTGGTTTTGTCAGCACAGAGCAGCGTGCTCAATCAAGTGCTGCAGATCAAGAGATCTGGTTCATTAAATTGAACTTGTAATCAGAAACCAGCCTCAGCTCCGTTGCTACTGGGTGCATTACACAGGACCCTCTTTGTGATCAAAAAATCATTCTGTTTTCAAAACCCAAAGCCCAATCCCTACCAGCTCAGTTCTTCTAGAAGTCTGACAGAAAACAGGGTCATATATGCTAATGCTGTGCAAAGAACAAAATCAGTGATGTTAACATCAGATCTCTAGGTTTAAAAATTAATTGCCAACGTTTCCAGAACTAGTGATTTAGGACATTTCAAATTTTGAGTGCCTTAGTGGAGAGCAAAACGTGTTGCAGAGCTGACTGCTGCAGAAGCAGCGTTAAATGCCCACAACACTGAGGATCAGCCTCCTTTAGGTCATCTCATGCTACACACTGAAAAATCAAAACATGAGCCTGAAAACAAAAAGCTACTGCCTTTTTCTTTCCAGACAAAATGTCAGTTCTGTTACAGGTTTTGCATAGCACTAAACGCACATTAACTTAATGCGAGTATATCAGTACCCTTCCTGTAACAGGAAACATCATTAACTGAGAACTGTTGAAAATGGCAACCTTTTACTTCAGTTCTAAAATACCCGTCAGCTTTGACAGTTCCTAATGGAGACGTGAATTTACAGAACAGAGAAAACACTTTTATCTTGTGTCTCCTTCCTTACTTTTAGTTTCTATTAAAGGAAAGCTGGGGGAGATGAGACCGAAATGTTGAAGGGATTTGATGGCATCAGCACACACCTCACAGGTACGTACCAAACCATGCTGACAGGAACCAAAGTCCTTTGAGCAAGAGCATTCAGGTGCCCAGGCCAGAGAGGCTGAGCATGGAACAGGACACATGTGCAGTATATCAGAGTCTTACAGTGCTTTTAAATCAGCAGAAGAAACACTTGAGACATTCCACAACTCCAGCAAATGGCCCACAATGTTGGCAGTCTCAGCTGTCCCCCCAAAATTAATAATTTTCAAGTGTTTCTGGAGAGTTTAAGTCTAGAATGGATTCCTCTCCTGCAAAAGCACAGGGTAGAAATGGCACCCAGATCGGGGCATCAAGAAAAGCAAAAAACCTAGCCTGTGCAAGCTCGACAAATTCAGTGCTAACAATACAGTGTGATACTGCCCAGCACAGCACCCAGTAGCTTTACAGACCAAGAGGACCTTCTGAACTACCTGCACAACTTTCTGGTGCTCTGCCACTGGCCCCAGCTCCGCCTTCCTCTACTCCCTCCTTCCTTCCAGCATCTTCTGCATCTTGCAGGCTTGCAGCCCTTGAATGACAAGAGTTCTGTACATCATCCCATTTTTTTGTATTTTTTTAGACAGGATGAATACAGAACACTCTGGAGATATTAGATGCCTTTTGATTATTACCCTGATCTATAACGGGCACCTGCTCCCTCCAACCCCCAAACAAACTGCCTCTCCCCTCCAAGACCACAGATGTGCTTTAGCTTTTACATCCACAGGCAGACTCCAACGATTCCTTACGCAACAGTGTTAAATAAATAGTCTGACTACAGGGGTGAGTGGGCCCTGGATGGAGCCGTTTATGAAGATGGCAGTGCATCTACTGCAGGAATGGGTCCGTCCTGTTGGCAAGATCCTCCTGGTTATCACAGTATTTGCCTTCTGTATTCAATTAAAAAAAAGATCCTGATGCCACACACAAGAGTATCTTGTGTTATTTAGTAAGATATAGCTTAGGAATGGCTTATGACCGACTACTCACTGGCATTTTCTGTGGAGTTGTTCAGAGTTACTAGGCTCTGATCTTTAATTCTAAGAGGAAAAAAGTGATTTGGGCTACAAACATTTTCCTTAAAGTGATGTATATACGATTTCTGCCATTTTCTTAATTTCCTCCTATATTGCCATGACACTATAACCATCTTCCCAAACTCTAAAGTCTTTTCTAAAAGCTTTCATGATTCTGTTCTCTTAACACACATTCTTCTCCATCTCAAAAAATCTGCCATTCTGTCAAATTATCTCTGATTTTTGTGAAGACTATGCATTGCCTTCCAAGTTATTGAAGTATTTGCTTTCCACCTACAGGAAATATTAACAAAACATTCTTTTCCCTCTCAATTTAGTATGGAGAGCTCAGATTGATGTCTCCAGGCCAGTTCCCTGACACACTACTCTCTAAGCAGCAACAACCCTTTTTCAGATAGAGCCCTGCACAGGTCTGTACTTGGAACATAAACAACTTGATACTTTGTTCATAAATTTATCAGCTAACCCGAGAGCATGTCCCTGAGGCTCCTCTTGGATCTCCTCATCTCCAGGAACTTCATGGAGCATTCTTTCTAAAATATCATCAAGAGTAGAGTGAGCCCTGTCGAATAAAAGATATAAAACAGATGCTGTCAAGTTTAGTACTACACATTTTAACAGAAAACAGTCATAATTATCAGGGTTCTTAAGCTGGCTTACTGTAAGCACCGAATCCTGTTAAAATATACTGGAACCATTACTCTAAATCTTCGTAACTCAAAGCCAAACACGCCTTGTTGTCCTTTTTTTCATACCTTTCCGTTTCCTCTGCTAGATTAAATGACTCCGTAATGCATAAACTATGATTTATCTTCTCATAACTCTCAGATTCCTTTTTTGACTCTCTGTCTTTCATTTTAATTTGATCAGGACCTATTCACAAAACAGAAAGATTTTAATATCAAATGTATAAAGGAAGACAATTAAAATATGTTTTTATTTACTGTACTTGGGAAACATCCAGTTGTCCACTTCTCAATTATTCTTTCCTCAGTCATCTGATTTTCTACCAGTTAAGCAAATTCACATTATCTACAGTCAAAGGTGGCCAGTAGCAAGACCTAGATAAATATTTTACTATAACACATTTTTAGATTCACAGGACTGAACATTTTGCTTCATGCTAAAATGAAAAATGCATGTGGAAATTAATCTTTAATCTTTCCCCTTACAATCCTAGATATGAGAGAAAAATCAAAAGAAAACCTGTGGATGTTAGCTTTGTTACCCTACTTAGCAAAATCCAATGATATCCCCCCAAGACTTATCTCAGTGAGTTCTGTTCCCTACAGCATGTGAATATATTCAGCCACCTTCTGCTAAGCTATGATAAGCAGGAAGCAGTAGGCTGTCACAAAAATGGAGTCTGAAATAGCTGTACTTTATGCAAATACAACAAAACCACAGTGACTGAACAGCGAGCAATACAGGCTGCTGCATTCCTTACCACCTAAACCCAAGATACTCCTATGAATAAAGTCACAGTAGCTTCTCTCCTCTGGGACAAGATCTAACAAAGCTGTAGGATAACACAAACAAGTGCCAGTATCATTCTCAAGTGACTATGATATTTAGCTTTTTTACAGACTAACTCATGTTCTGCCTTTTTTTTTTCTTTTTTTTGTCTTTTTTTTTTAAAAAAAAAAAAACCCACAGCTCTTTACTTTCTGACTCATTGGAAACAAATGTAGAGCCTATAAAGATTTAGGTTTTCTGCTCCTCTGACATTACTTGCTGAATATCTAAAAATTATTCCCACTTATTACTATTTGCAGTTTCAGAAGTACAGAGACTCACTACTGCTATCTTTGGTATCTCTGTAACAGAACAGGAAATATAACACTGATTACCCCAGTGGATGCTATTTTCTTCCCCTATGAGATCAGAGGCTTTATTTCATTACGGTGAATAAGAAACAAGCAGTCGGTGTGCACCAGCCACTTTCTCAACTGAACCACCCTCCCAGAAAGGAAACTTTGGCTCTATTTCACATCAGCTACCCCCCCATCTATCATTTTGTGGGGTTTGTCACTTGTGCTTGAACACAGCACACATTACAGTGACATAATAAAGTACAAGATTAATTCTGATAGTTCAGACCTACAAGCCTCCAAACCAGATTCCCACAGACTTTAGAGAGTGAGTACACAGAGAAAGACAGCAAACGCTGGTGCAGGGGTTACTATTTGTGAAAACCCTGCATATAACCTTACCAAGGGAGAATCCTCTCAAATTTCTGCTGAACCACAACTACCAAGAAAAGCTAAAAACTGAAGTTTATTATACAGCTGAACACACAGTGACAAGTACTCAGAGTGATTTCATAGCAACGTAAAAGTAATTTTCTATTTGCAATCTCTCTGTTAGGATTATCATCAACTAACCATTTATTTGCACTCCACAGTCAGACAATCCCTTCTCTTCAAAGCCTTGACTGATGGAATCTTGCTGCTTTAAATATTCTGTAAAACCAGCATTATTTCCTTATTGATCTATATACTCCTTGTAAATTGACTCTATACAATCTACTTTATCCATCCAAACCTTTACATAATCTAGAATTACTTCACATATTAATTCTGCAAATTGTCTCTGACCATCATTTATTCACTTGATGCCAGTCTCCACAGGTTCTTGTTTTGGTGAATGAGGAAATAAAAAGATCAGAATGTGTCTGGGTGCCTGACTTCTAACAGAGCACAGGACCTATACATATTTAATGATCCCAATGTCTGGTGTTAGCTTAGGCAGAGTTTATAGCTGAACCAAAGCAAATTCTTCTGTAACACACACCAGTAAAAACAATGCAGAGTTTTTACACTGTGTTCTGTCTGAAGATGTATGTGATTACAAAAAGAAACATAAGTCATTGAGACTAAACTCTGCAAAAATACCTGAGGGATGCAGCTACCTGGCTTGCATCTGTTTTAATAAAGCACATGCATTGCTATGGGACACCGTTGAAAAATTCAGTCTACACAAAATTCATCTCAATGTTAAATGGTATCTGCACTCAATGAGCTAACTGCTGTCAGCAGCGGCAACTAACCATCACGTGAAATGCAGAAACTTCAAGGACTAACTTAACTGCCAGCCATTTAAACTGTGATTAAACTGTGATGCCTAACTTCCTAATCATTGACCTGACTGCAACTAATTTGGGAGCTCTTGTGTACTTTAGCAGTGAATGATTTGGGAGAAATCCTGATTGAACACAGCTGGCAAGCCTCATACCATTTTGGGTGAAGTGCCTCTTACCAATTTCATCCAGCAGCTCTTGGGCTGGTGGAGGCAGCTCATCACTGAAGTGGTTAGATGCCCGTAAGAGTGCTGAAATAGAAAAAAAAAAAGAACTCTAGTTAATTAGCAGTGATTAATCCTTAATAACTGTGATATAGGCTTACACTATGACAGCATCTTGCTGACATATTTCATTTATCAACCTGCACAAGTCTGGCTCATTCACATTTTATCAAATATTTAAATAATTTCATAATGGAAAAATCATTTAAAGCTAGACTTGCACATCCAGCTCTCAATCCTGTATTGCATATTTTAGGCCAGTAATATTTACACTTCAAACGTAGGTTGATTAGAGGTCAGAGTTCTTAGTCTGCAGGTGCAAACACAAAATCCACAACCTAATTACTACTAGCAGTACGCAGTTGTGTGCAAAGCTATTTATACTGTAAAAAGAGATGCCCAGGAGGAGGGCTAAAAAAAAAAAATAAATAAAAAGAGGGAGGAGGGAAAACTGCAAAGTTTCTTTTCAAATCTGTTTCTCCATTTATGGATCATTCTATCTGGGCTGGGGTTAAGAGACTCACCAGATGGCTTCCTGGTGCTTCTCAAGGATGAAGCAACTACTGGCAACCCATCCTGTGTAAGATCATACAGAACAGAACACAAGAAAGTAAATTGAACAACTGCTTGTCTTCAATCCTCCCCTTTAATACACCAAATCCAAAATAAGGTAAGACCTTCATTAGAGCCTTAGCTGACCATTAAATTTCAAAATAAGCTCTCCAATCAGTTCAGAGTATGAAAACAGGTAGCATCCAGGTAAGCTGAATGTGTCACAAATTTTGCCTAGGCTGCTGTGCACTCATCTTTTAGCCAGCCATAAGATACTGTCAGCTACATCATTATCCATTTCAACACTCTGTATGCACAATTGGACAGGAAAAATCTCTGAAAGGGCAGTTCCAACATCTCTCAAGTTTTCATTCTCTGCTTTAAATTTTTAATTATTAAAAGCCAGTCACAGCTATTCCCAAAAGCAGCTCCCAAAAATCAGGCATTTGTAATCACAGCTAAGTCCTCAAAATGGAAGCGGGTGCTTCATGCACTTAATCCTAGAATAAGATTTTAGACAAGAAAGTGACACAATCAAATATCTCCACCGAGCCAGGCACGGCAGCACTGCACTGTTAATGAGCTTAATGAATTCCAACTGTCTGCTACACAAGCAGAAAGACACAGACCTAACCTGACGACAACAAACGTAGTCACTGCTGTTCTGGTTGAACAAACTCTAATTTCATCTTTAAACAACAAGCCCATCAATGAATAACAATAAGAAAGGCATAAAGGCATCTATTTTATATATAACCCTCTGAAAAGACAGTTAAGATAATGCTGTGACTGCAGAACACCTTCAGTTCCAAAAAGATTACTGAAAATTACTACAGTGACCTTGGAAACTGTCAACTCCAAAGAGAGTATTTTTTGATAAAACAAAGTTGATAACATTGTGCCACATCTGCGTATAAAAAGGACAAACTTAATCTCCTAATACAAGGGCTTTCTGAACATTCACTTGCTTCCAAACTACTAGATGGAGGCTTCCACCTCAGTCTTCTTCCTCAGAGAATGACTCATTTATGTACTCATTTACCTTCCGCGTGGAGTTTTGAGAGTCCTTCAGTTTCACATGAAAACTTACATACTTGAACACACATGCACTGTATTTATTTTCACTGAAGTTTCTTCCCCATTTACACATAGTCAAAAGCCCGATTCACAAATCCCTTGTGAATTCAGAGCAGTTCACCTAAGCAGCCTGCTGTTGCCTCATCAGTCTAACTGATTAACCCCAATCTCCCAACAAAACCACACCTTTTCTACCCAACCATTTTGCAGATATTTACCACTTCGGTGTTCCAAGATTACCAGATCCAGTGCTGGGAAATCGCAATTCTTTACAGCCAGGTAAGGGGTGGAGGGCAGGCAAGGTGGTGGCCAACATGTACATACCATTATGTGCAAGGGGAAGCCAACTCTTTGTATAATCACTGGCACACTCTGGCTGCTTTGAAATCAGCCAGAACTTTTGTCAGTGTCAACAGATTCCAAAATACTCACAAAAACCTAGAAGTATTTCTGTGCTTCTCATCTTGCTTTCCTTTTAAGGAAAAGTATTTCTTTAAAAAATTTTAAAATAGCTGATATAAGGTAAATTTTCTAGACTTACAGGCTCATTTAATTCAGGTGGGCAAACTCCTGAAGCAACCAGGGGAATTTCAGTGCTCCTTTCCCCTTCACAGGCTGTAGTGAACGTCCTGGACACTGAAGAGGAGATCTCTTCAGAACTGCAGAAGGAAGAATCTGAAGCTACTTCATGGTAGTGTCTGTATTTCTCAAAGGCTATTGGAATTTTTTCTTCTAGAATTAAAACAGAAAGAAAAAGACAGATAGCAAAGCCAGAAAATTATTTTTGGATTTTTTTGTATCTTGGACACATTTCCACAGAAGCAGAGAGAAGTTTCTTGTACTTGAACAGGCACCTGCACAGGAAACTAAGAAATTATTGTCCATAGCTGATCTCTAAACAGAAGTGCAAACTGATTACCTCAGAGTTCCACCTCAGACATTATCTATGCAAAACTCTGCCAAATGAGAAATTTCAACTACTGTGTTACACCAAATTAATGAAGGTACAAATCAAATGATAATTTGTTGCTCTTAAACAACACAAATTCAACAAACATTGAGATCACTTTATCAACACTCAAAACAAGTAAGTGCTCATTACATTGGCTTTAAAATACTAGAATCTTTATGTATCACTCCAATTGTAAATGTCTATTACAATTTCTGATTTATGAAGGCCACCATTAACTACCACATAATTCTCTTTGAGAGACCTTTCAGGTAGTGGCTTTTTCAGCTGTGTCCCCATAAATTCTCCTTCAGTTCTACATGAGAGATTTCTTCAGACCCAGCAGGCTCTAACTACAAAGTTGTAACTATTCAGACCAAAACAATAAGATTGCAAACAACAGGTACATTTCTTGGGTTGACTTATTCCAAGCCTGACATTTCCGCATTGGTACTATGTGAATGGAGTTTCTATGATTGCCATCAATGACTTTTATATTAGCAAGTCTCGGCAGAAGGGTCTGACCCCCTGCACAGAAAGGTTAAATAATTCACTGGTCCTTCCATCTTCCCTCCCTGCAGTTACCTGAGCTGAGTGGAGTGCTGAAGCTCGCTGGCATGTGACTCGCTCGGGGCGTTTTACAATCTATATCCCTGCAGTAGTTCTCTTGCTCACAGGGGATACTCGACAAATCCTGAATATCTGTCACTGATCTGAAGTATTGAAAGATGTTCTGACAGTTAGAATAGCCACTTCTTACACGCGAATCACTAAATTCTGCTATTTTCAGGTTAAGTTTTAATTTTGTTCAGTCTTATCTAGTTTCCCAGATGGAAGAGAGACATTCCCTTTGAAAACTTCCCACAGAATTCTTGGAAGGCTAAAGATCACCATCTTCAGTAATCTTGCAGAGACAGAAAAGGTTAGTTATCTGCTTTCCCTTTCCTTACAGGATTTCTTAATTTTAATAATTCTCCTACAAAAGCAAGCTCAGGAAACTGCCTGAAAGGGCAAGAACTTCAAATGTGAACCACTAGGTAAAAACTCTCTCCAAAGCCAAGGGAAGACCTCAAGGTTTAACAAAAATTAACAATCCATTAAGATTAAACGTAGAGTTTAAGAGTCTTTAAAAGAATTACTCAAATAAACTGAAACTGCTAAAGATCTGCACAGGCAGCAATGTCCACACCAGTTACAGAAATTCTTAAGTGGCTGCAGGACTGGGATTATATTAAGCAAACCAACATCTTCTGCAGTTATACCCTGGATTATAGTGTCCTCAGAAGACCAAGAAATGAACAGACGTCTACTCTTACCAAATCAGTAATTTCTATGCAAATTTACATTATCTGTAACAAGAAAATAACTTCACTAGTAAAGTCACAAACCTATTCTGCATATTTTTCCTGAGAATCTCAATCACAATAATATTTTTTATTTTAATAAAATGTACTTACCTACATACAATTTGCTCTTTAAAGCAATTTTATTTCTTCTGTGTAATACGGACAGAAGAAATGAGGGATCCTAACACTTTAACGTGAAGAAGCACACGCAGATTAACGCTAAATTAATTACTTCTGAATATGAAGACATTTCAAGCTAAGGACAACCGTATGCAATAGCTCTTTTATACCAGTCAATCTCCCAATTTATCACAAGAAAATATTCTTTCAATACTTCAGACAGTTTTCTCTTTCTCAGCTTTGGTCTGTCTCATCTTCCTGTTTTGCATCACCAGAAAACTTTTACAATGATAATGACCAATTTGCTGAAGTTTTGATATAAACCAGTCAGTGGCTCTTACACATCTTTTTCTTTGCATTCTTCCTGTGGCTCCCAGGGTATCTCTTCCTGCGCTGCTTCAACACTGGAATGAGGGAAGAAAAGTAATTCTCTGAGAGGATCGATGTATATCATGAAAATAAATGTATTTAGTTTCTTTTCCCTCAAAAAGTTTAAAGGACTACATTCTCTCTGAGGTAGACCGCAGCTCATAAATAATTTTTGCTTAAAATCTTAGAAGATGGAAAATGCTAGGAGAAAAATGCCATTTTAAGCACATCATGAATTTGTATCTGGTAAGGAGAAAACTTCTGACAGTTTCAAAATAAAACTGGAAGCTAAATAAAAATCTACAAATATACATCACTACGTTGCTTTATCATCCTTTGATTGGTCTGCATTATGAGCTATTCTCTCAAACTCTAACACCACCAGTCAAGGTCAAAGAGACATTCAAGGGGAATTAGATGGTCAGAGAGCAACAGTCCTCTCTGTCCTGCTGGCAAAAGCTCAGTTCCTAAGTGAAGGGAGCACATAAACCCATCCCCTTCTATCTCATGGCCAAGTATTTACACACTTGCTGCCTGCCTTTGATACTGCTAACTCAGTTCCTCCAGTGGAGAGGAGAGAGTACAACGCTGACAGACAGTAAAAGCAGCTCTCACTCCCACACTTGGACGAAGTGAGCAGCAGCTAACTCTGGAGGAACACACAGGAAGCTGAGGGGCTTTAAGAAGCCTGAAAGCCACTGCTGCAAGACCTTCAGGGTGAGGACTGTTTCTCTTTAAACCAAAGTAGCCCTTGCAGCATGAGGTGGGGGTTCTGGCCAACATCTCTGCATACTAGCAGAATATAAAATTTACAAAAATACTGGATCAATACCTCACGTTTGACAGCTGAGACTGCAAGTCTCCAAGGATGGGCTAATGTTATCTGCAGGCAAGATACAGCGAGCGTACTTGCATCGGATTGTTCCCACAGGAGGGGAAAAGGCATGATCTTTATGCCACCTGAGCTCCAAAACCAAAGCACAACAAAATTAAACAGATGACTGAAGCCTTAATTTGAATTATCTTTGCTCTGTTTAAGACTGTAGTTTATCAGTGTAAAAGGAACTGTAAAATATACAAGACTTATTTTTCCCATTTTAGCTCCCTCATTAAGCAAAAAATCCCAAACCACAAAACCTGAACACTATAAAAGACAAAGCCCCATGAGAGCTGTGAAAGTCCTTTTAGTATTTTCTTGGCAAGGAACTATGGTATGTAGATAATCATTAAAAAACAGCACTGGCATCTTATTTGAATATTAGATATCTAAGTAGAATTAATAAAGAGAGCACACTTTATAACCTGATTTATGCTTGAAGTAACAAAAATAAGTGTATCTACCTGGCTGCAGGCATATGGCTGAGTTGATTCACTCCTAGCGTGTTACTGCCAGAGTTCTGCGCCGCTGTGCTGCAGAGTAGTATTTTTCCTCCTGAATACAAATAACAAATGTTCCCTGTTATTGGGTTTTGCAAGTACAAAAGAAAGCGACACAACTCATTGAACAGGAAATTGCAACTTTATTAAATTTTTTAGTTCTTGTGACCTTTGTTGTTGTCAAGAGACAAATGTGTTTTAAAGATGCATTTTCATAACCATACCGCAGCTGCCAGACAGTCAGCCACTGGAGCACTGGGGAATATCACAACATTTACAAATTTGAGCTGAGAGGCAACAGACTAGAGAAACAATGATGATCCTTCCATTATTCTGCACATACACAATGTCAGCTCTTACAGTTTTTAAGCTCAAGATCCTCCTAGCAGTAAGGATATTAATGTGTAAATACAACTCTTGTTCAGTTCCCAGCACCACAGCAAGCTGCCTAAAAAGATTAAACTTTACCCCAGGGTAAAAACAAAATGGTTGCAAGCAAGTTTTTGGGTTTTTAACTGAAACACACAAGTACACAATCGCCACACTCAACAACGTTCCAGTGACTGCAATGCCCAAACCTTGCCTTCCAACATCCCAAGCGTCCTGACCTCTCACTAAAATAATGAGGAATAAGACCAAGTGACCCTGAAGACTCAAGCTCCAGCCTTCTGACAGGAGTGCTGCTGACAATAATGTAAGGGCAACAAGACTCTGTCTCCCTGACACAATAGAACCTTCCAAAAAAAGAGCACATTTACCTGAAACCTGAATACCCAGTACTGCATCTTCAGGTAACTGGTTCTGTAAAAGTCCTCCACAAGGATCTTCTAGTTTGCTCGCAGCCTCTGAGGTCTGAAGCAGGAGGGGAAAAAAAAAAAAGAGGAAAGTGAATTCAATTTCTCACAGGCAAGCTGTGAAAGGTAGGACAACTCTCACAGGATGATGTTCACAATAATCAGAATGGAGACAGAAACTTTTCGAGAGCTTATCAGCAAACAGCATGGACTGGATTTAACAGTCCATACAAGAGTTTCAAATCTTCAAGAAATTAATGAAGATTGGTTTAAGACTATTGAGTACCATCATTGATAGAGCTGTGAAGGAAAGGCTGAGATTATCAACTGCCTAAAACTTTTCTCAGACACAGATTATGTAATTGCCTAGTAAACAAATTCAGAAAACGTGCCCCTGGTGTTTTTGGAGTCTGGGTGTTTGTGGCATTTTAGTTGTTTGGGGATTTGAGGGGGGGGGGTTTGGTGTTCTGTTTGGGTTTTTTTCAGGCAGGGGGTGTGTTTTAAAGGAACAGGGTTAGAGTTTTCTTGCTTTCACACAAATCTTTATTCGTAGGTATTATTTCAAATGAAAAGAATAAAAATTGTCATTCTCTCATTTTCTAGAACTCTTCTTCAAATCAAATGGGAGCATAATAAAACCAAATGTGGTATAATTTACATCCACAGTTCTTGACGCAGACTTTGTTCCTGTCTTTTCTCTTATTTTTAGCTCTAGTTCTGAACTTCCCTTAGTAGGAGGAAGCAAATAACCAGGATCAGGAGACAAGAATTCTTCAGACACATCAGGAGATAAATTAAAGGAACAATGTAATTTCCTTGAATGCCCCTGTGAAAGACATCATCACTTGAGATGCTTTCTCCACTCTCTATTACAGACTATATATTTCAGTCAATAATGTTAATACTGCATCAAACTGAAATCATATTTAATCTGATCACTCTGTGCTTCAACCTACCTCCTGTTCCTTACATGACCATGATGGTTTATAGAACCAAACAAAAATAAAAGGGGGGAATGGAGGATTTGTCAGTCAGATCACAACTGAGATCAGCTGTTGTGGTAGTTCAGTGTGCAACATAGGAGAGACCAAGCTAAACTGTTTTACAGATAACCAGCTGCAACCAGATCTCTTGGATTATATACATACTCTAGAGAGATCTGCAACTTGTTGAGGAGGGACTGCATTCTTATGAAAGGCTATTCCAGACTCTGCTTGTTCATCTTGTGACGGTGACTGGCAACTTCTCCCTAGGATGTCGAAACGGAACAAAATTATTAGGCAAAAAGTAATATGAAGTGAGTGATCTGAACCACTGACGGAATATCAATGAGAGTAGAGAGAAAAACTACATTGTCTGTCAGGAACCTGAAGAAATAACAACATTTAAATGCTCACATTGGTAATCTAGGCACGTGAAGCTTTCCTTGTTCCTTTATCTGTAACTACTGCAAAAGCACTACCCACTATGCTGCCTCAGAATAAGCATCTCTGTAGCCCAACTGAAAGCAATGAAGTGTGAAAGTAGACTTGTGGCATTGAAAGCTTTGGGTCTCCCATGCTGATACACAGTAATCAAGGATGACAAAGGGTCTCCAAGCTCACGGGTGTTACCTCCACCTATTAACATGGAACACTCATCTTAGGCTATTATTTATGTTCTCCGGTGACTGAGTGACTGAACTGCTTTGGGGGCAAGACTCTGGAAGATAAAATTGACAATTATTGTAACAAAATCACAGAAGGTGAAATCTGCTGGGAACGGACTGAGACAGAGTAGAATTTATTTTTTGTTTTTCGACCTTACCTCCAGAACTTGTGAATGCAGACTCCACGTCACTCTCCTCAAACTGAGATCTATCCTCATTGCCCACATCCCAAGACGCAACATTATCACCTGTCTGCCACCTGTATCTTTGTTCGTCTTGACTTTTTTGGACCCGAACAGTGACGTGTTGAAAGGCTTCCTTTATACTCTCGGCTTCACTTTCAGATGTGCATTCACTGGCTGGATATGGAGAGCAGAGCTCTAGTTGTCCCGAGGCCACTTTTCTGGCCATTTGCTTTACTTCAGCTACACAAAAAGAACAAAATTGACAGTTCACACAATAGAATCTGAACCTTCAAAGCATTCCCTGGGTTTCACTGTGTCTGCAGACTTGCAAATGCTAAAGTTATAGCCTGTAAACCCCTTTATCATGAAAAGAGCTAAACACTTCCATTTTAAGGAAAGCTTAAAACCTGCATAAATTGATATGGACAAGTCTTTACAAGAACAATTTTTGTTAGTTTGCATTCTCTAGTATTCATGCCTGTACTGCCATCCACTGGTCACTGCTATACTACCCTAACTAAATCCATAGGCTGTCCCTCCCTTACATCCTCCCAAACAGGGCTAGAAATTCCTTGAGCTTTAGAATCAAACCATCTTAATGGGGTTGTGATTACTTTATGCCCTGAACGTGCAAGACACAGGATCCCACTCATCTGGTTTTCATCCAAGAACAGCCTAATAGAGCTGCAGCAAATAAGGCACACAGACCTCTCGTAAGTAACAAAATGTGTTCAGTTTTAATGCACTGCACTGCAGTAAGACTTGCTAACATTAATGCCAAGTTAACACTGATTTACTTACTCCTCCATTCTGATTGCATCATCCTTCTCTCCTCACTTATTTTTGTACTGTAAATTTCAGATCTTGATTTCAAATAGCTCCTATAATAAATCATTAGGAAATGCATCAAACTCTGTTAATGCACGAGTGCGTTGAGTATTCTCCCCAGTCAGTTCAAGACTAGAAGTTGGTTTACTGTTAATTAAAAGGCTGAGAGCACACACGTTCTAAAAACCCAATAGAACTAGCAGATTGAGCCGTCACAAGCTTAGAAAGCACAGTTATTTAGGTCTGTTATAGATTAACCAGGCAAGCTGTATGTTAAAATCTAGATTTCAAAAGCTGTCAACTGCCTTCAGATGATGTATCTACATAAACACTAGCAGACAATGAATGCTATTGTAGATGCGTTTTATTCAGGTCAGTAAGGTGATCAGTGGACAACTGGAGACATTCAGAACTTCAGACTTGGATAACCACCCTACTACCAACCTGATTCCAACCCAGAGTTCACTCGCTCGACCATCTAACCACATGCCAGCAGCTGCCATATTTATGTTCTAACCAAGTACATCCTTTACCAGCAGGTCTTGCTGATCCAACTGCATCATCAATCAACAGTTTTTCCAAATGATTTGACCAGATCAGCGAGGGAGGTGCCTGTCCCCATCTTTCCAACTAATAAGATACACTAATTTGCCCAAGTTTTGCCAGGTACTTTTAACAGGTACTTTCCACCCATCCTTAGAAATACAAAGGGACAACATAAAAAAGCACTGCAGACAAAATGAAGTAACATATGCTCTGTTGTCACTGGGTTTAGCAAAGCTGTTCTGCTCCCACAGCCCCTAACACAGGTCCTGGTCCTACACCTATGAAAGCCAAAGTTTCTACTGAGAGTTGAATGAGGCTGCGCAGAGACAACCACCCTTTCTAGTAACTTATGAGATTTCTCTCCTCAAGCAGTGCTCCAGTTTTGGACAACTGACGTCCATCAGAGAGGCATTTGGAATCTGTCTGAACTGCCCTGTCACAGCAATTACCCCGGCAGCTCGGCAGCTGACAATGACTCACAGTTGAGTCCTAATTGGACAGATGGCTTTTGGCTTGCTGAAAAAACATTTAATGCCATCCTTGATCCTGAATGTGTCTACTTTTGACAGTGGCTGTATCAAGATGAATCTGCTTGAATTAACTCTTCTGTGAATATGATCAAAACTCACCACCTCTCTTCTCCACTTCCACTTGCTGCAGAATGTGAATCACCTCCTCTCTGACACTGCAAGTTGAACTTTTGTTTGCATCTTACAGATACACGTGGGAGTAAATGCTGAAATGAGTCCAACAAGCCATGATTCAGCACGCATCGGGCATTCTGGTAATTACTAGTTGAGCTGTCTCCGAGATATACTAAGAACTGGACCGTGCAAACTTTATTCCCTAGGTTATATTTCAGTAGCACTGCTTATGAGAAAGGATGATAACTCCAGGCCTTAGCCTAGTAAAATCTCTGCCCTGGATTTATAGCAGGTTTCAGATGTACAGCAGGTTTCAGTCTGTACAGGCAGACTATAGTAACATGTAGTTCCGGGGGAATGAGTGGACCTAAATGACTCATGATTATTCCTACAGCAGATATGTACATGAATTTCTCTCCTCCTCTTCAGGCTAAGCATATGAACTACATATATTTAATAAACAAAATAATCTAGAAGCCCTTACTAATGACAGTTTAGGCCTCCATAACTAAGTATACAAACAAAAATCTTTCTCTGCTTGCCCTTTCCCTGACAGTTCCATCTCCATTTCAGTACAGGATTTTATTCCCTCCTGAGCCACTGGGGGGAAAGCGGTGTTGAGGAGAAAGGAGAAATAATACTATTGCACTGCCAAGCTGACTATTTTCATTCCTATATATAATGCATATGGTAGGCATATTTTAAAAGACAGATTCATCCATCCTCTTGGACACCATCCCTAACTATATCTCTTTACCTGCTGAGGAAGTGATGAACAGTCAACACTTTACCTCACGGTCTAGGATCGTTTGATCATCCAGGCTTTCCACCTCGCTGAAGCTGAGATCATCAGGGTCGTTTTCATTTTCACTCTTACTCATCTCATGAAAGCACTCCCACTTTTCAATTTGAATTGCGTCCACTTCCTTTGCTGTCTTTGAAAAAGCTTGGAAACTGTCTCCACCCAACGCTCCTTGTGCCTGATCTGTTATCACTGGTGGAATATAGTCCCTTGATGGTGGACCTACAGCCTTCCATAAAGAACTGTTAGCTCCAGAAAAAGGGTTGTTGGTATTCTGAGAAGTATCATCAGATCTGTTCCAGTGTCTTTCTTGGGAAACCTGCTTAGAAAATTGATTCATTCTGACTTTCTGGAGCAGGTTTTTTTGCTTTTGAGCGGCCTCTAATTTGTGCAGTTTCTCCTCTGTTCTGCACAGGGAATCTGCTGCCTGCTGCAACATGCTTTGTATAATCTTTACCTCAAGGACACATTTCACGATGTACTGCTCACTTGGGGACAAACTACTTGTTCCTCTCCCAGCCTCTCCCCTCACCTGTGCCTCACTAATGCTGCTCTCCTCTTCTGTAGTGTGCTCTGTACCTGACTCTGAAAAGGCTCCTTCCTCACACCCTGGCTTTTCCTCAGGGTGTGCTCCAGGGGACGCAGACAGATCTCCGAGGGTAGCCTTATCGTCCTCCTTTTGCTGCCTTTTCTCATGCTTTAGAGTTGGATCTAATCCATCTCCTTCTTCCAGGAAGTCTTCGTGAAGTTCTGGATAACTGGCAAAGAACTCATTGACTTCAAAGCTACAGAGGCTGTCGTCCACGTCACTGACACTGAGGGGCGTTTGAGGTTCAGCAGCTACATCACAGTTCTCGTCCTGTGCAACTGGCTGTAGACTGGTTGATGCCTCCTGGTCCACTAAAGCACTGTTCTCCTTAGCAAGAGGAGAGTGTCTTGGGGTAATAGAGCTGTCTGGAAAATTTGATTTTAAGTGTTAATTCATTTCTCCACACCCTGCTTTTATACATTTCGGAGTCAATGTCTTTTAGAGATTACATGAGCGGCATTTAACACCTCTGCACAAAACAGTGTGCCTGAACTTCAAATATCAACCAGACTTACAGTCTTGAGATTACATTAACAATTAGGGTGGTAGCTAGAATCTAAAGCTAACTGCTTTCTATTTTCAAACTATGTCATAAAATCTAAGTGCTCGCATTTTAATTATTTATGAGACACCTGTAGGGACTGCAGAACATGCTAAGTGAAGGACACATGACATCTTGACAGAAGAAACTCACCAACCACAGCTGTCTCTTTTCCCTGCAACTCCAGTGTTCTCTTCTGGTAGCTAAAAGCTGATGCCAAACAAATGTTCACATCTTCAAAACAAAGGGATCTTTGTGCTTTCAACATTTCATCAGCATGACCAGTCTGAGACTTCATTAAGTCCTGTAATGCAAAAAAACAGAGTAAAAGACAACTACATTTGACAGTTCAATGTCTCTACCTTTTCTTTTAAGGCGTTTTGTCTCCATGATCAGAACAGGATACTCAATGTTTAGATTGCCTCCCACCTAGATTTAAGTATAACAGCTTGAATCTGAATGGACACAAAACTCTGCTGTTTCAAATACATGAAAATCTACAATCCTGGAATTCACCTTTAAGTCATTTTTCAGTATATATTGAATATCCTGAAGTTTCAAGGAGCGGTTCTTCTGTTTAGGTTCTAGTCCTGACTTTATGATACCATAATAGGGCATAGGAAGTCTGACATCTGCTTCTAACTGTTGTCCCAGAATTACAAGCTGTTTAATAACTAAGTCTTCAAGACCTTTCCAGGGAGGGGTCTCTGCAAGACATAAATACAGACTTTATCTCAAAAGCTGCGTGTCGATGGTAATGAAAATAAAGAAAAAAGAAAAAAAGATTTTAAAAAATCCAATACTGAAGCATTACTGTCTATACTTTCCCTAATGTACAACTACTGTCACGAACCATACGAGGACTCAGTCCAGTCTGGCATCTCCTCCCCATCTTATTTGAGCAGTGGATGATTTAAAGGGAGTTGATGGCAATCTTTAGAGGACAGTTACCCTGTAAACCACACTCTGGATTCTTCACTACCAATTACTAATAGAGGGGTTCATTTTTAGGATAATTGTTTATCCCACTTCACTGTCAAAATAGTCAAAATCAATACAAAACATAATCTGTAATAACAATACATTATCTGTAAGTTATCGCAGTGATCAAAAAGATAAAAGCTGCACAGGCTCGTTTTGCACACTGCAAAGAATTAAGGGAGCATTTTGCTGTCCTCAAAGAAGAAAGATAAACAGCAGAGAAACACCATAGACAAATTTGTATCTCTCTAACAGCAACCACTAATCTCATCCCTTAGATATGCAATTTTAAGTTTTCTCATTTTACAAAAGTTTCCAGTAGTTGCTACTGGCATTAACATTTGGGTTTCTTGCCTGGAGGGTTCTTTTTCCCAGTTAACTCCGTACAACCATCACAGCACGGTTTTATCTAGTCAGACAGGGGAGTTAAACAGACCTCAGGGGGCTGACAGTCGGCTTTGAAAATATCCAGTGGGTTACCGCAGTGACAAAAACCTAAACCTATAGATATACCTGTCAAGGCCTCCTGCATGACTGTACAGAAGCTATAGATATCCGATTTGACCGTGACAACTTTTTCAAGGATTACTTCAGGAGAGCACCACTTATACAGCTGCACTGGGACAGGAAGACGTGTCAGATCACTGTGTTCTCCACCATCTTTGCTGCATAAAGGGAAAAAAGTTGTAAAATGGGACATACAGCACACTCAACTAGAAAGTGCATCTTTTAGAATTAAACACCTGAGTTTGTTCTATATGCTTTTAGTTTAAATATCCAAAAGGTCCAAAGTATACATGCAAATAAAAATGTGTAATATTTTCACACCAATAAATGAATTTCGGCACATTACAGTGAAGATGTAACATCTCCTTTAACAAATTTACACTGAAAAAGAAATCAGAGAAAGTTGAAAAATTCCCAATTTTACAAACAATCCTTTAGCTCTGGGCAGCGTTCTCTGAGTGCAGACAAAATACAAGAAGCTGTCACCCAGCCTGTCAACATTTATTTTGCAATGTATACATATGTCTAGAAGCTAGCTTCCTCCTCACATTTAATGATTTTTTTTTGTCATTCATTTCTCAGTAAGCTGTATCTGAAATAGCCAAGAAATCGCCAAGATTTATTAACAAATTGAGTTCGCAAGGAGGTTAGGAAGTATCTTTGCTCCTTTCAGGACATTAAAATCAGCAAATTTTTGTTGGTTATCAATCTCTCTTTCTTTACAGTCTAACCAGCCATTTCCTTTCTAACCAGACTGCGCTACAGGAAAGAAATAAAAAATATATATAATTTACCTAGATTAAATGAATGGTATCTCTCATTAAAAAAAAAATAATATATCTTTTTCTTACTGGTAGCACTTAATTACTACCAGTTCAATGAGGTGTGGAATCTTCAACCAATTTAGGTAAGCCTCCATAAGTTCAGTATAACAAGAGGAGACTTAATCTGTTTCAGAATTAGTGACTCAAAGAGGAATTTCATCTCTGTTCTCTAAGACTGGGTTCTAATTTCTCTGTGATGGTATTTTTATACTCCAGCACAGAGCCACTTCTCTTACTAGTTTCTGTTTTCAGATACTTACAACATAGAAACTAGGTCCACCTGAAACTTGTCATACTGCCTGTGGCAAAGTTAATGTACCCGAGCAGCAAGAATTTGGAGTTTTTCACTGCTGTAACTCTGCTGCCCGACTCAGAGGCAGGAGTCCTTAGTCATCAAGAGGGGCACTTCAGCAGAATTTAGCACTAAATTCAACTTGAATTGCACTTGTCCCTTTCACAGAAACAGGGGGGAAGTTCTTTACCTCTCTATCATGTATTCCAAGTTGCACAGCTTTGCCTCACCAGAAGAAACGATTTGAACAGCATAGGAGGTAACCGAACGGTGGATAAATCCACGGGAGTGTAGAAAACGCAAAGCGTCATTAATTTGAAGCAGCACATGTAAAATCGTCTCCGTGTGCAGTACCGGGAATTCTGTACGCTGAATGAAAACAGAAGTATCAAATTTGCACTGCAGGTCTTTACAGCTTGACGGAGAGGAAAACTTATTGTACAGAAGGCAGCAAAGAAAGCAAACATGAAACATACTGTCAGACAAATTGCACTTGCTAAGTAATGTTCATTCTCAATACCAAACCAACTAATACCACCTTAAAAAGTAATTAAGAAAAAAAAGATATTGACTGTGCCAAAATGCACTCTGAAGCAGAATGAACTCTTCAAATTTCTTGCTTTTGTCTGCAATTTCTCCCGTAACTTAGATGTCTGCATTCAGTTAAAGCAATAAAATAATGACTTGATTAACTGCAAAAGAGGAAGATGAAAATATTGAACAACAAAATAAAACACAGATGCGTTGGAGGCAAAAAACCCCAAACACCTGAATTCTAACCTTCCCTTTATACACAGGAAGTTTGCAATGTACTACATGCAAATATTCAAGGACAAAAGTTGATCTCAGCAGATCTGCAGTATACAACCACATGCAGAAGATTAAAAGTTCCAAGTGCATTTAACAGCAGACATTTTAAAACTGACACCACACAAGAGAATCAATGCAACTGCACCTAAACATTAACTGAAGATTTCTCAGTTACAGACTTCACCAGCTCACAGGGAGTATCTGATACTGCACAATGACACAGAAACCAGGGTACCCAGACTGATGATTTTGCCTTCTTGTTCTTTAAGTGACTAAACTTCTTCCTCTCAATTAATTCCTATTTTAAAAACATGTACTTCAATTACCCTTTCATGCAGAATGCTGTATAGAGAACCAAAGTTAACCCTTTCATATACTAAACGGGTTTTCTCCAAGTCACTAGACAGGCAAACAGACATCAACTGTAGCAAACGAGGATGACGGAGTTCACTGCAAAGGGAAAGGAAATAAAAAAATTGTAAGGCAAATCTGAGACTAAGAGTTCTGCCCTTCCAGATGTTTTTATCAATAAAATGTGAACTTCTAACTTTTCATTAAAATACCCCAAATTAAAAAAAACAAACAAACCTGTAGGTTAGGAGGCATTTAGGAAACATGCTTACTGTCACAGCTAGGAGAATCTATAAATAAGCCACCCAAAAAATACGCCCTGTAGCATTCATCCAGACATACAAGAGGAGAGTATCATCATCTTCTGTATTATCCAAGGGGGAGCACATGGAGTGGGAAGAGACAGGAGAAGAGAGAGATCTGTATTTCTCATTTGGAAAGTGCACCCACAGCCTAACACATGTCCCAAGGTTAATCCCACTTCCTCACAGCACTGGAGACACCCAAACCCCTGGAGCACTTGTGGCTACTGCACATTCTTTCTTACCTACTACGTTCCTGCTCTGCAATGAGAAGATCAGCTAAGCGTAGTTTACTACAGTTCTGATGGGGCTCAAACCCGAGTTCCTTCACTGTAACTCTGCTGCTTCCCCACATTAAGCTACAAGGAGAAGAGGAATTTCTATGAGATGCTTTCTGCAGTATTTTTTTCCAGTTATGGGATTATCTCAAATAATTTTGTAATTCTGAAATGCTCTGGTGCTGTCTCCTACTGTTAGTAACATTACTTTGATGATCCTGCCTCTTTCAAATTGACAATAAATTCTCCTCCTGTTAAAGACTGGATGTAGCAGGACGGGTTTGCTGTCCAAAGACACCACCCTTCCGTGACCCAAGGTAAACAATAAGGACACTCTAAAACTCCTTTCACTACAGGCCAGCCCACTGTGATACAAGCCAGAGCTTTGGGAAGATTAAATCACCCATTTGTCAATGTTCTGGATGCCTCTGAGGCAGAACTACTTGATACACAATATAACTGATATACAATACTATTGATGAAGAACCCTAATTGGGTGGAAAGGACAAGAACAACCTATAGGTGTTAAGGGAGCCTGAAAAAGATATTAGTCAGTGGACTGCAGAAAACAAATTGCAAGCAGAAAGCAGTGGATGAACACAGAGCAGACGAAGAAAACCATCCAGACAAAGTATCTGGTACAACAACTTGCTGCTTAATAGTAACAGATACACACGAGAGGGGCTAAAATCCCTTTGATTCCACTTACTTTGTCATGATCATGTACGGTCCAACATGGTAAGAAAATGTTGGCTCATCATCTGCCTGGACCACGTCTTTTTCCCCAATAATAGGGAGAGATGCCAGGTACCCTAGATGTCCACTGCCTGCAAGATAAAGCTGACACACCACCAGGGCATAACCAAAAGGAACATGCAACAGTTCCCAAGATCTGTCACATCTGCTGCAAAAAAAACCTGAGCGCAATGACTGCAGTGGGAGCATCAGCCAAAGCATCAAAATGAAACGTTAAGATGTCTGAGGCAAAAGCTTCACTTGCTAGTGAAGCTGAAAGGGGGAAAAGCAGAAACAGTCATTAAAAACTCCCACGGGTGACATTTAACAGGAGCTTCTTTAGCCTGTTCCAAACCAGCTTCCTCTGATAGGGCCTGCTGATGACTAAAGGCCTGAATATTTGCCCCCTCCACGTTTTTTTCCCACCATTTCAGTAGAGAAAAGAACGCATTCAAAATTAAAAATAACACAGGTGGGGCGATTACTGTGAAAAATATGCAACACTGATAATATAATTAGAAAACTATTATCCAGAGCATCTTACCTTCCCAAAACCAAAGCTGTAAATGTTCTTGGCTGCATTAGCTCCACCTTTTAGAAATCTACCCAGAGGACTGTCAACATTTCTAAGTATCAAAAACATAAGCAATAAGTAACTAATATGCCAAGGCTTTGAGTAAAATACAAATGAGAAAAACGCAGAAATTTTGCAACAGCCATGTATTTCAAATGTTGCATTTGACAAGGTCCCACACAAAAAGTGTAATGCGGATGCTGAAATTCCAAGTTATTGTGTAACTCATTAAAACTTTTTAGATACACTCTTATGATATGTATTTGTTTAAAGCAAGAGAGCCAATAAAAAAAACTTTAAAAATACAGGCATCCTGCATTGGTTTTTTGTTCACAGGTATGTATTTTTCCTAACCTGTATTTGAGATAAAAGCTCTTGAAACGGTGGGAAACACACCCCAAAAAGATTTGCAGTGACCTTAAAAGATCAATAAAGAAACTACTTCATGTTACCACCATTTTAATACTATTAAAATCCAGTACTTAGTATTGCTGATTTCAAGAGTACCTCTTAATATACAGATGTTTGCAACTATCAAGTTTTTATTGGGAACTCTCACAAGAGAAACAAAAAGTATCATCCTTCCTAACACACAACGGTTTTAAATCTGCTATTATCAAAAAGCAACAAAAGCATGTTAATTTTAAGATAACAGAATAGAGAAGTAAAAGTCCTTGTAGTTCAGTCCCTCAGTACTTGCGAATATATTCTTACCCCTGAACGAGGCTACCGAATCTAGAGGGACTGTAGACCAGTGCTTTTGATGAGCCAACCTTCCTGAGATCAGAGGGGAAATTCTGAATGACAGCCTGCATGTGGAATGTACAACGCTGTATAAATTCCAGCATCTAGAGGGAGGGGAGGGAAAAAACAACAAAATTACTTCAGAACTGCAAAGTAAACCATTTTTAAAGTAATAGATCATGACTACGGAGAAAATAACTAGTTACTCGTAGTATTTAAATAGGCATTTCAAGAAATGGTTTCACAGAAAAACTTGAAGAAAATCAATTACATGAAAATGTAAGCAAAAGCTTACTTCAAACACTAGATGACTAACTTTCAAGACATTCACCCATCGAAAGTTGTAATGTCGGGTTTCTTTTTAAGAGGAGCATTGTAATAACAGGAAATAGTAGTATTATGAGTTTTAAATCAATATTGCAGCCACGAATCAGCCTTCTGCTATTGCATTTTGCTACCATGCTGGCAAAACCAACACATTTGCTGACACTGTTCATGGACAGACTGAGACACACTTGAAAACTACTTCAGGCTTACTCCTGATTTGCACATACGTGCAAACAAGCTACAGACATCAGGGACCAAAAACCATCAGGGACCAAAAACCATCAGGGCCTGTCATTCTCCTCACTGCATACTTACACACAAAGGTCCTAACAAGTTACAGACAAGCCCCTGCACCTGAGCAAAACCTTAAATAATCTAAATCATAGACTTCAAAATACCAGTACTGATGTTGAAAAATAATGCTAAATAATTGTTCTAACATGGAAAAGCCAAGAATTTCTCCCTGGAATGCTGAAGTTTCTTCACTTTAAGATGAAGATGTGAGCCCATACCTAGCACATATTCAACACGTATTACACACACATACCCGAGCACTGCTTTCTGTTGCAGCTGACATAGCCCAGTCCTGAGGACTTCTTCCATCTTTATCATGTACTCTCAGATCACCTCCTTCATCCAGTAACTTGCTAAGAATCCACTGATTGCCTGAGAACACAGCTGCATGGACTGGGGTGCTTCCATCGTAGCAGCGACTGGGGAATATTAAAGCAGAAATGTTTCAGCCTACCCCTACTACACTCAACAGCTGTGTTTCTGGGGAAAAAAAGCAGCATACCTAGAATGTTTACGCACTCTCAAACAACACACACCATGAAATAAGGAAAATCAGGCACCTACTTACCTCTGAGGCTAAAATAGAAGCATTCATCTTAAGCATCTGTTCATTTATATACAGTGAATATTGTGTATTACACTGACCAAAACCACTAAAAGTTTAAACACAAATTTCAATTAAAAAAAACCCAACCCAAACTTAACTGGTTAGCATCTGAGCCATAATCCAACAGCACCTCCACTATTTTACCAAGATCTAGTAACGCAGCTGTGAAGAGAGAGGTTTGGCCCATGGAATTTACCACATCAACAAAAACACCTGCAAGAAAACAAAAGATGATGGGGCAAGCGCTTGTTCCCCGCCCCTGCCTCCCCACCCCACCCCC